CCCTCCGTGGGGCTGAAATCAAGGGGCTGGCCCTCTGGGCTCTCACCAGGCACCTCTGGGAGACACCCATGTCCAGGCGTGCCCAGCTCGTTGGCAGAGTCCAATTCTACGTGGCTCTCCACCCGCATCTCTGTGCCGCAACCCTGTGCTGGCTCCTTCCCTCCTGGCGTCTCTGACTTCCACTTCGGCCACAGCTGTCTTGTGCCTCCTCTCATCTGAGGGCCCAGAGAACCTGGGACAGCCTGGGATAACTTCACCGTCCTCAGACCCACGGCTGCCCGACACCCGCCAAGTCCCTCTGCAGCCACACCCACATCTGTGTCTGGCCGGACAACTGGAGGACAGGAGCCCGGGAACACCCCGGGATGCCGCCCACCACGCCTCCTGCTCGTGGATAAAGCCTTGTCACATCTTGGAGAAGAGTAAGGACCAGGGGGATGGAGCAGAGGGGGAGTGAAGACAGATGACAGCTCTGGTAGGAATTTGGATCTTCTACTCCGGGGGTGTCTATTACGGGATTTTCACAGGGGAGAAGCGGACTTCTTGTAATCTGTCGGACGCGGCGAGTGGGGATGCTCCAGTCGTGCTCTTGCGCTGCTCAGCAGGGCCGTGGGGAAGGGACGGTCACCTCCTGGCGGGAGTCGGTGCAGGGAGGGGGCAGCAGGTCACAAAGTGAGGGGTCAGCAGGCGGGCAGCCCCCAATGGCCCGAGCGTTAGCTGGCCCGGCAGCCGGGACTGACCTGCCACTGCCCACAGGAGACAGGCCCACCGTCCGTCACGCTCCGACTCAGGGAACTCCTCTCGCCCGCCGCTCCGTGTCACCAGGAAGCCAGCCTCAGCTGCTCGCCCGGCCCCGCCCTTGTTGGACCACTGCTCTCAGCCCAGGGGTCCCCACAGACCAACGCCTTTGCCCTGTAACTTCTGGAAGCACCATAAGTGGTGGCATATTTGAGAACGGCGGCCCCCCTGCCCCGCACCACTGCCCTGGAATCAGCCTGACTTCCTCCTGTCAGTGAAGGTCCTGCACATGGAGGTGGAAAAGGTTAACGTGTGGCCTCGTCCGTTATTTTAAGATGAAGAGCTCCATATTACACCTTTTCTTATGAACCTGCTATCTTGTTCCGGGAGAGAAAAAAAAGGCTGGTGCAGTTTTTCCCAGGAGCATTTTAGGGGCAAGACGACAGCACATATGAGATACAGACGCAAGGAGCAATCCTGCCCCCAAAGGACAGGACCACGAGGACAAGGCCCTCTCCGGGGCTGCGTGCTTGTTGCCCTGCCCAGGTGGAGGTGAGCACAGGCCCTGCTCGGAGGGCTGCTTGCTCTGGCCACGTCCCAGCAAGAGGAGCCTCCCATTTTTAGCCCAAGTCACTCTAACTGTCTGGGAATTGTGGATTAGGAGACCTCCAGGGCCTTCTCGGGCCTGGGCAGGCCCCACCGGTCACAGGTACCTTGCAGGTTGCCAAGACTCCCCAGCTGGCTGCTGCGAAGCATCCAGGATCTGCTACATCCTTAACCACAGCTGAAGTGCCGCCCTATATGGAATTCCTGATTTTTTAAATTTCCCCCTTTTCTTACATCATTCATGTATTCAGTGGTACATTATGCTGACTTGACTCCTCACCAAAGCTCTCCTTTTGTGTCTTCCTAGTTTCTTTTTTCTTAAGATCTATTTTACTTAGAGAGAGACAGAGAGAGAGAGAGAGAGAGAGAGAGAGCAAGTGAGCATGAGCGGGAGGGGGAGAGGGAGAGAGAATCTCAAGGAGACTCTGCTGAGCGTGGAGCTGAAGCAGGGCTCGATCTCACGACCCTGAGATCACCTCCGAGCGGAAACCAAGAGTCGGATGCTAAACCGAAACTGTACCACCCGGTGCCCCCTCCCGGTTTCTATCATGACGTTTACAGGGAACATAGAACTACAATTTTTTTTTTTTTTGTACTTAGCATAGCGCCCAGCACCTGGTGCTCTGTAAGCACTTGTCCGATTGATAAATACTTGGTAACTGGTAACAGAATAGCAAATCTGAGTGTGTCTTAAGGATTATCTAATACAGCACTCAGACTCTTAGAGCGAAGAAAGACGTCGCCCAAGGGCGGATCACAAATGGTGCACACTCAGTCACCGCTGTTTTATAAAGCCCATGGGTAAGTTTAAGGACAAGCGTTAGAAGTGGTGACTCATCTATTCTCCTAAAATGCCCTCCTTCAGCCAGACAGCTGGGGCAGACTTTAAATAGCTGTCCCACTGGCCTGCTCACCACCAACTCCAGATTTGAGGTCAAGAGCTGGGAATCTGTGGAGTTAAAAAATGTATCTTTGGGATCCCTGGGTGGCTCAGCGGTTGAGCATCTGCCTTCCGCCCAGGGCGTGACCCTGGAGACCCAGGATCGAGTCCCCCGTCGGGCTCCCTGCATGGAACCTGCTTCTCCCTCTGCCTGCGTCTCTGCCTCTCTCTCTCTCTCTGCGTCTCTCATGAATAAATAAAATCTTTTTAAAAAAATGTATCTTTAAGTGAGAGAGAGACAAACCAAGGAAGAGACTCTTCTCTACACACTGCTGGTCACCAGACGGGAGGGGGTGGGGGATGGAGGGAGCAGGTGACTGGGACTCAGGGGTGCACCTGTAGTGACCAGCACAGGGTGTTACAGGGAAATACTGGATCACTATCTTGTACACCTGAGACTAACAGCACACTGCATCTTAACTACTGGAATTTAAGAATTTAAATAAAGACTTAAAACAAAAATTGCCCTTGTCTGACCTGCCCTTTGGCCATGGAGCTGGAGAGAATTATGTCCTCCGATCAGATCTCCGGAGGTGGGTTTCAAAATGTCCCTTGAAAACACTGGGGAGTGATTCTGGAGACCGATGAATAAGACGTGAGGAGGAATAAGTGGAAAAGCATAATCTGGGATCTATTAAAATGTTCTGAAGACAAACAAAACTAAAAGATACTCCTTTTAATTAGACTTCCTGCATAAGCTTAGATGACACAGGCCCTGTGATGGAAGACAAGCGTCACAAATATTAAACAGAACCAGCCGGAGCACACAGCCACATGAAGCAGCTGCAGGGAGAACGATCCCGCAGAGCAACGACGGCAGTCGAGGCAGCAGGACGTCGAGGCGTCCGAGCCATCCCGAACCAGGCCTCTCACCCTCGCTCTCCAGGAGGCGGGCGCGGACATCCTCGTGTCAGAAGCGAGGCTGAACACGTCCGTGGCCCGTGGAGCCCGACTCCGACCGCGGGCCCGCCGGGCTCCAAAGCCCAGGCGCCTCACCGGGACGCCCCTCGTGCGGGGTGAGCGTGGAGGTGGACTTTACCAGAGTTTAGAACTGAGAAAATGCATTAGAATTTCAAAATGGGAGAAGACCGCAGACTAGAACACAAGCTCCCGAATACGCATCAAATGAAATTGGATGTAGGATACAAACACTTTGAAAGGACTGATGTTGGAGATCCTAAATACTGCATTCCTACCAACACCTTTAGGCATGAATACACAGGCGAGGTCCCTGCGCCGGTACAAAGTGCGTGTTTCCATGAAGGAATGGATCCCCCAGAGACACAACAAGCCAGGTGAGAGCCCACTTCCCTAGGGACGCGGTGGTACAGACAGTACAGCCCCAACAAACCCTCAGGAGGAGAGAATTCAATCCCAGATTTTCGTATCTAATCATCATGCGCAGATACAAAGCAACCTCGTCCAGTTTCTGGAAGTTTCTATACCCAAAGGCCTCAGAAACCTACTCCGAATGGCAGAAGGCCAAGAGAAAGGCGGCTTCCACGCAGCGGAAGGCAGAAACAACCACAAGGTGACTCCCCAGCTCCAACTGCCATTCCAGCTTCAACACACCCTCCGTCCCCTTGCTTCAGGATCGGATTCCCACTTGAACAGCACAGACCGAGCTCCGGGAAAGCGAGTTCACAGCCCGAGAGATGTGGCTCGGCTTGACCGAAGAGCTGAGCGAAGCCACTGGGTATTTCCTCTTGAACATAAACTGAATTCCCCGACGGGGACGTGGCCCTGAGGCTGGTGACCCACGGAGCGGGGTGTTGGGGCCGGCAGGAGCGGCTGCCCAGAAAAAAAAACCCTCAGTAACCACGGAGCCCAACCTACAGGGTAAGACACAAACAGCTCCCGGGCAATTGCTGACAATCTGGTCAGCTGCCGTGACCGCAGCAGGCAAGGCGTGCGTGACGTGGAAGAGAGCTAGTGTCAGGGAAGCAATCGCAGAAATTCCGGGGCGGCAATACCTAGGAATCCAAGGCTTCCTGTAGAAATGCTCTTTATGCAGAAATGAAATGACACAAAGAATGTGTGAAATGCTTTATGATTTTAAGATTTGACTAAAAAACTAGAGACAAGAAGTTTAACATCCAAATTCTAATAAGACAATGACATGTTTCAAAGGGAAAAATGGACAGTTGTGGGGATCCCGGGGTGGCTCAGCGGTTTGGCGCCTGCCTTCGGCCCAGGGCACGATCCTGGAGTCCCGGGATCGAGTCCCACTTCGGGCTCCTGGTGCATGGAGCCTGCTTCTCCCTATGCCTGTGTCTCTGCCTCTCTATGTCTATCATGAATAAATAAATAAAATCTTTTTTTTTTTTAAAAAAAAAGGACAGTTGTATAAACAAGGCTTTTAAAGGAGCACACACACACAAAAAAAAAGGCGAGCCAAGAATAAAAATTAAAACAACAGTCTAAACTCCCCTATTAAAAGTATCAAATTCCTGGTCTCCGATAGCACAGTCAAGAGAAAACCTTAGGCCTTGAATGTCACCTATGGAAGACCCAGCTGTGCTGTTCACTGCCCTGCTCTCAGCACCTGGACCGCCGTCTGGACCCGGTACTGTTTGAATGAATGAACGGCCCATGCTGACACGATAAACCGGCCCCGTGGCTCAGCGTGATGGGAATTCTATACGCGCTCGACTTTGCCAGGGGACAATTCAGGCCAAAGGCCTTAAAACTGTGCATGAAAAAAAACAAAAACAGAAACTGTGCATGATCTTTAATGCAAGAGTTTTACTCAAGAAATGTGTATTTATTTTCTTAAACAATCACTAAGGCATTCAACGTGTTTTTGTGTACAATGAACAAAAGCTGAACAACATGCTAAATGTGCTGAATGCTCCCAGGAAAGGACTGGCTAATTATAGTCCATCTGCACGACGGGATCCTAAGGGAAGATGTTGTCAAAGAGCACGGTCACAGGAAAGTGATGAGGACAGAAAGGAAAACGCAGGCTACAAAGGGGAACGCAGTGCAGCCTCGGTCCTGTGCAAAACCCCTGGAAGAAACGCCACTGTGTTCCCCAAAGTGGTGGGACGACGGTGGTTTTTACTCTCTTCTTGCTGTTCATTTCTATTCCCCAATATTTCTACAATGGACATCCATTACCTTATAAAATAAACTGGTCCATTATAAAAATCTGAAAACGTTTATTTTTGAGAGACCGATGCCACGGGCTGTGAAGTATGGTCAAATAAAGTATTAATTTCCAACATCACCCACTCCCTGAAAAACACGGCATTCTTCACCCTCTGATTCTGCGGCTACGTCTCTGATTATTAGATTGCGCCCGGCTACTTCTGAAGCGGTCACAAACCAGAACAAAACACTGGCACTTTGATCCCAGGGTCTGGGGAGATCTGAGACCTACTCAACAGCAGTGAGCAAAGCTGCGTCCCACATAAACCACGACACCGGCCAACACGAAGGGTTACGTGGCTTCAGGAGACACCTTGTCTTCAACGGAAGACGCGTGCCCATCAGATGCCACCTCGTGACACAGGAGATTTTCTGGTTTCAATCTGAGCTCACTATTCATCATATTGTACATCTTGAAAAGAAAGACCGCTTTGAAACCAAAGAAAAACGTTCCTTCACATGTTGTACGAAGAAGCTCGCAATCAGGGAACGTCTGGACGAACACTAAAGCTTCCATTAACACAGGCTAAGTCAATCGACTGTAAAATCTGAGCTCCTGTTACGCTATTTTTTATTTGAGGTGTAGAATTCAGTACAGGCACTAAAAGCACGACTAATAAATTCCCAGTCTCCCAGGCTAGAAAAGCGGGAGAGGCTGCATCCCAAAGATGCCATCTCTAAATTTCAAGTGTCCCGTCTGTCCCTTTACTTCCCACAACCAAAAGTCCTGTTCCAGTTCTCGTAGAGCTCTAAGTCTCTAGGAGACACACTAGGCCGCACGGTTCTAAAGGCGTTCTCAAAGTCAACGTAAGCTATTGGTCGAACTTGCTCGGGAGCTATGGTGGCGATGTCAGCAGTCTGCAGGCTGCGAATAGGCCCGAGAGACGCCTCTCTGCAAAGCTGTGTCATGTCGGCTCCCGAGAACCCGTCGGACTGACGTACAACCAGTGCGATTTCCTCCTCGCTGAGGCAGCACTGCTCCTTGGACATCAGGTTAATCACGATCTGCCTCCTGGCCGAAGCTTCCGGGAGGGGAATATAAAGCCTTTTCACCAGCCTTCTCCGGGCGGCCTCATCAATTTCTTGGGGCCGATTGGTCGCTCCCACCACTAGAATACGATCTTCAGAGGACGTGGTTGCTCCATCTAACTGAACTAGGAATTCGGTTTTTATCCTTCTAGAAGATTCGTGCTCGCCATCTCCTCGTTGAGACAACAGGGAATCGATTTCATCAATGAATATGACAGCTGGCTGCTGACACCTTGCCACAGCAAACAGCGCACGGACCATTTTCTCCCCCTCACCCACCCATTTAGAAGTCAAAGAAGAAGCGGAGATACTGAAGAACGTCGCCCCAGACTGGCTCGCGATGCACTTGCCAATCAGAGTCTTCCCGGTCCCGGGGGGCCCGAAGAGCAGAATTCCTTTAGGGGGTCCTCGTAGGCCAGTAAAGATGTCTGGCCTCATCATGGGCCACACGACTATCTCCTTTATCGTGGCTTTGGCAAATTCTACTCCTGCGATATCTTCCCAGTTGACTGGCGGGCCGTGATCCATGATCTCATTCATGATAAGTTCAATCATCTTTGGCTCCAAGTTCTTCAGACGCTCATCAACGGGATGTGCCGGCTCTGCGGGTCCCGGGCTGTACGGCTTATACTGCACTCCCCCATTCTGATCTCCCCCATCTTGCTTAGGGAGAGGAGGCACAAACTTCCCAAATATCCCTCGGGACCTGCTGGCTCCCAGAGACTTCTTCACGCCGCCGTATGAGGACCCGGATGCTCGCTGGGCTTGCTGGTACTTCTTTTGCTGATCCACCCATAACTGTTCTTTTGCAGTCTTAAAAGTAGGCAAGCTACCCTCTTCTCTTTGGCCGTTATCTCCCGTTTTACTGAAAGCCTTATTCACCATTGGGGCAGAAAGGGCATCAATGGTGCCAGAACCATAAAAAGCTCTCCTCTCCCGTGGATCTTCGCAGACGGAAGGCAAACAAGACTGATTAGACGAGAACACATTTAGTCCTACGTTGGCTTTCGGAGAGCTGTTACTGTGCTTCCGGACGTTTCCAAATAACGGCGTGGCATGGATCTTTGCGGTGGCAAAGTCACCCAATGGTGTTAAGGACGTGGGACAGGTCTTACCGGCGTTGGGCAGCGCAGGCGGCAGGGCACTCTGAGGGCACTTCGGAGGGCTGCCCTCTGGGATGTCCAGGGTCCTGGTGGTATCATGCGCTGAGTTAGTTAATGGGCGGCCCTCCCCAGAACCCCCACACACACTCAATTTAGGGGGATCGAGGACAACAGCCTCTTGATGGATGACTACCGATGCATCAGCAGGTGCCAACAGAGAGTCTCTGGATTTCTTGCCGGCTTGCATCATCTCCTGCACATTACTCATTTTGAAGACATTATTTATTGACAATCCAGACTGCCACCTGTCACTGTCGGTTTGCTGAGACCTTGCTAAGGTTAAAATGCTTTCCGCGTAGTTATTCAAGCCAGTCTCAACATTGTCAGAATCAATGACTGCAGAATATCTCTCTGCGTATCTTCTGAACAGTCTGGTGGCGCAGGCCGGGGACATCTCGGCGTTTGCCCATGCATACTGAATGCATAATATCTGTGCCCGGTACGCGTCCGCCTTCTGTCCTGCGGTACACGTGCCAGATGTAATTGCAAAGTAATTCTTCTGCCACTCACTCAGGTGCACGGACCCGCTGCTGGAAGCCTGCATGCCGGAGGTGCTCTGACAAACGACAAAAATGAAAACATCAGGAACAAGAAGAATCTAAAACAAAGACGCGATACTGTGAGCGTGCTTCTCATACCTCTGCTCGTCGGCAGGGAGGTGTGCTAGACTTCCCGTGTGGAAGGACGGAGCACTTCTAAGGGAAAGGCTAGATAATCACCGAGTTCAAGCATTCAAGACAGATTCGATTAGCAACGCTTTGTGATGGGGCAAATGGTCTTAGTTATGTCATTTTCCCTGCACGTGCAGAAAACACGCGTAAGGTCTAGATGGAAAGGGTTTCAAATTAATCAGCAACACACCAAGCCTGGGGTTTCAGCTCCGTCTCAGAAGAACCAGACGAATGACGTCAGCCAAGCCGCTAGCACCGGGCCCTCAGTTTGATCTGCAGAGTGAGAGAAATCACCGTTAAGGATCGAGTCAAACAATGAGCATGAACACACTGCGGAAAGTACCATTCTCGGGCCTGTTACACAAACGTGCAAACTAAGGCTGAGAGTTCCCCGGAGGTCACGGAGCCAACAAGCAGCAGCGCCAGAACTCACACTTGCCCGTTCACACAATCCAGACTGTGGGCGTGCACGAGACGAGACCCTCCTGGGCGCTGCCAGCAAAGGCCACAGGGCGGGGATCATGGACATCAAGGACCACCGTACAGGTGATGTTTTTAAGGGCTTACTCATCAAGCAGCACTGAAAACAGGATGCCCCACAATTTCACAATTTTCCAGTGTCACGTGAAGTATTAAAAAGTGAAACTGGGACACCTGGGTGGCTCAGCGGTTGAACGTCTGCCTTCAGCTCAGGGCGTGACCCCAGGGTTCTGGGATCGAGTCCTGCATCCTGCCCTCCGCACGGGGCCTGCTTCTCCCTCTGCCTGTGTCTCTGCCTGTCTCTTATGAATAAATAAATAAAATCTTTTAGAAAATGAAACTGTCATTATGAATGAAACATGAAAACAAATCTGCTCAAGTATAAACACTAGGTCTCAACAGTCTGCTACCAAGGTGCTTTTAGTTTAGGGTCCTTCTCTCAACTTCTTTTTATAAGCTTCCTTACATTAAGTTGAATTATTTTACCAGAATTTTAGGTGATTGTGATCATATCGCTGGATGTATGGACTGTACCTCTCGATCCACAAAAGGATGCGTAAGAAAACGTCCCAAGTTTCCTAGGCGTACTGTGATAAAGGAGTGTTGCAGAAACCAAGAACTCGTGTACTTTAAGATCTACCTCCTGGGCAGCCCGGGTGGCTCAGTGGTTAGCGTCACCTTCGGCCCAGGGCGTGATCCTGGAGTCCCGGGATCGAGTCCCGCATTGGGCTCCCCGCATGGAGCCTGCTTCTCCCTCTGCCTGTGTCTCTGCCTCTCTCTCTCTCTCTCTCTCTCCGTGTGCCTCTCATGAATAAATGAATAAAATATTTTAAAATAAATAATAAAATAAAATAAAATAAAATAAAATAAAATAAAATAAAATAAAATCTACCTCCCAAATTGCCTGTGAATCAGCAATCCATAAGTTCTTTTAGTACGCACGTAATACAGCCGTATCTCCCATAAGGAGACAAAAAATGAAGGGCCCAGGAAGGTTCTCCTTTGCTTTAAGTGATAAAGCTGAATTACACGAGTCAAAAGGGGCAGCCCGGGGGGCTCAGTGGTTCAGCAGCGCCTTTGACCCAGGATGTGACCCCCGGGGCCCGGGATCGAGTCCCACATCGGGCTCCCTGCATGGAGCCTGCTTCTCCCTCTGCCTGGGTCTCTGCCTCTTCTCTGTGTCTCTCATGAATAAATGAATTCAAAAAATAAACAAATAAAAAATAAACGAGTCAAAAGTACACCTGACTTCTGACAACCGTTTGCCCTTCTTTCCACTCCACCGTGTTAGCTTCTAAGACTCTCGGGGGCAGTCCTGGAACCGAGGAACTGGGAGGTCACCTGGAAGCAGGCACCACCTTCCTCACGGGGAGCAAGGCCCTCCTCCTCCCCCTCCCCTCCCCCCGCGATGCCGGGATGCCCCCAGCGCTCAGCCCTCGGTCCCGGCTCCCAGAACACCCTCCTTTCCTTTCCACCTTCACCCTTTCCTTGGAAGTGCACCTCCCCGTCCACTTCCTGCCGACTCCATCGTCTGCCCCCCATGTGCGCGCCAGCAGCCCAACACCTGCCCGGCGGCCCCGGGAGGGCGTCCCCGTGCCCCAGGTCACCGCGGCCCCAGGTCACCGCAGCCCCCAGGTCACCGCGGCCCCGGAGGGCGTCCCCGTGCCCCAGGTCACCGCAGCCCCGAGGTCACCGCGGCCCAGGTCACCGCAGCCCCCAGGTCACCGCGGCCCCCAGGTCACCGCAACCCCAAGGTCACCGCAGCCCCCAGGTCACCGCGGCCCCCAGGTCACCGCAACCCCAAGGTCACCGCGGCCCCCAGGTCACCGCAACCCCAAGGTCACCGCAGCCCCCAGGTCACCGCGGCCCCCAGGTCACCGCAACCCCAAGGTCACCGCGGCCCCCAGGTCACCGCAACCCCAAGGTCACCGCAACCCCCAGGTCACCGCGGCCCCCAGGTCACCGCAACCCCAAGGTCACCGCAGCCCCGGGAGGGCGTCCCCGTGCCCCAGGTCACCGCAACCCCGAGGTCACCGCGGCCCCAGGTCACCGCGGCCCCCAGGTCACTGCGGCCCCCAGGTCACCGCGGCCCCGAGGTCACCGCGACCCCCAGGTCACCGCGACCCCGAGGTCACCGCGGCCCCCAGGTCACCGCGGCCCCGGGAGGGCGTCCCCGTGCCCCAGGTCACCGCAGCCCCCAGGTCACCGCGGCCCCGAGGGCACCGCGGCCCCGGGAGGGCGTCCCCGTGCCCCAGGTCACCACGGCCCCAGGTCACCGCAGCCCCCAGGTCACTGCGGCCCCGGGAGGGCGTCCCCGTGCCCCAGGTCACCGCAGCCCCGAGGTCACCGCGGCCCCAGGTCACCGCAGCCCCCAGGTCACCGCGGCCCCCAGGTCACCGCAACCCCAAGGTCACCGCAGCCCCCAGGTCACCGCGGTCCCCAGGTCACTGCAACCCCATAGTCACCGCGGCCCCCAGGTCACCGCGGCCCCCAGGTCACTGCAACCCCAAGGTCACCGCAGCCCCCAGGTCACCGCAGCCCCAGGTCACCGCGGCCCCGGGAGGGCGTCCCCGAGCCCCGGTCCCTGCCACCGCGTTCCCTGCGCCCGACGCGCCCCCGCAGTCCGTGAACACACAGGAAGTGCCTCTCGGTCTGCGATGCTGACGATTCCCGGCTCTGTGACAGGCCGGGCTCGTCCGTCCGCCGCGGCCCCGGGGCAGCACCGACCGACCCGCCGGGCCCACGGGGGAAGGCCCCAGGTCACCGGCTCCCGCCCCGCGGTGGGCGCCCCGCCCCAGGGACCCTCCGCAAACCGCGGGCGCCGGGAGCCCCCGCACAGCCCGCCCCGCGGAGCCCGCCTGGACCCCCCCGCGCCCCCGTCCGCTCGCCGCCCCGCCCCGCCCCGCCCTGCGCCCTCGGCGCCCCCCGCCCCCCGCCCCGCGCCCCGCGCCCGGCCCCCGCCCCGCTCTGCCGACCTGCAGCCTCCGAAAAGCGCGGGGCCCGATGTGCGCATGCGCGCTGCCGACGTGCTCGGGCCCGCGCTGTGCGTGTGTGCGTAGGACGCGCGGGGGCGGGGCCTGGGGCGGGGCCCGGAGGCTGCGGGGGCGGGGCCTGGGGCGGGGCCTGGGGGCGGGTCCGGGCCGCGGCCGCGCGGGGGTCAGCCCCGGGCTCCGGAGCTTGGCGGGGAGGCGGGGAGAGAGGGCCGGGGGGGGGGCGGGGGCGCGGGACAGGGCTGCGGCCTGGCGGGGAGGTCGGGGGCGAGGGGTCGTTCCGGGCGGGGGGCAGGTCCCGGGAGGCGGCGGGGATGTCGGGGCGCGGGGAGGTTCCAGGGGGCGCAGGGGGCATTCCAGGGGGTCCGCGGGGTCCCGGGGGGCGGGGGCGGAGGGCGGGGGTCCCGACGCAGGCCCGCCCCGTGTCTAGCCAGGACGGCTCCTCGGGAGGGGACCCCGGGGCCTCGGGTTCGCGCGCCCCGAAATACCTGCTGGGCGGCGCTGAGGGTGGCGCGCGGGTGAGAGGCTGGGGGAGGGCGGTTCCGCCAGGCGGCGGGGGGGCGGGGCAGCCGCGGGCAGCCGCGGGCAGGGGCGGGCAGGGGGCGGCGCGCGCAGGGCCCCTAAGGGCGCGGGGAGCCAGGGGAGGCCGGTGCCCGCGGCCGTGCGCCCCCCGCGCCCTCCGGCCCCCGCGCCCCCGCGGCCGTGCGCTCCCCCCGCCCTCCGCCCCCGCGCCCCCGCGGCCGTGCGCCCCCCGCGCCCTCCGCCCCCCGCGCCCCCGTGCGCTCCCCCCGCCCTCCGCCCCCCGCCCCCCGCGGCCGTGCGCTCCCCCCGCCCTCCGCCCCCCGCCCCCCGCGGCCGTGCGCCCCCCGCGCCCTCCGCCCCCGCGCCCCCCGCCCCCGCGGCCGTGCGCCCCCCGCGCCCTCCGGCCCCGCGCCCCCCGCCCCCGCGGCCGTGCGCCCCCCGCGCCCTCCGGCCCCCGCGCCCCCGCGGCCGTGCGCTCCCCCCGCCCTCCGCCCCCGCGCCCCCGCGGCCGTGCGCCCCCCGCGCCCTCCGCCCCCCGCGCCCCCGTGCGCCCCCCGCGCCCTCCGGCCCCCGCGCCCCCCGCGGCCGTGCGCTCCCCCCGCCCTCCGCCCCCCGCCCCCCGCGGCCGTGCGCCCCCCGCGCCCTCCGCCCCCGCGCCCCCCGCCCCCGCGGCCGTGCGCCCCCCGCGCCCTCCGGCCCCCGCGCCCCCCGCGGCCGTGCGCTCCCCCCGCCCTCCGCTCCGCCCCGCGCCCTCGACCCCCCGCGCCCTCCGCCCCCACAGCAGAGGTGCCCCGCGGCCGGCGGTGGCGGTGAGGCGAGGAGAGGCGCGCAGAGCCCCTGGGCGAGGGTCGGGGCTCCGGGGGCGTCCCCAGGCCAGCATGCCCCGCCCTGCGCCCCTTAGACCCCGTCATCGCCCTGGACCGCGCCTGGGGGCACGCAGCGGAGGCCGGCAGCGCAGCTGAGGGTAGCGGGTCCCGCTCTCAGCCCAGGAGGCAGCGCAGCCCCGCGCGGCCACCGGCCACCGGCCACCGGCCACCGGCCGTGAGCAGCGCAGTGGCCTTAGAGCCGGTCCGGCGCTGCTCAGGCCGAGGGCGGTGCTGCGGGGACAGGTGTCCGATCCACCCCAGCCGGTCACCTGTAGCCGCCACAGTCCCGGGAACGCAGCCCCGCGCAGCCCCGTCTAAGGCACAAGGGCCCAAACCAGGACACACCTTCCACCCCTGAGCACTTCCCTCCCGGGAAAGGGAGAAGCCCTTCCCCGGGAAGCCCCAGCAGCCTTCCTGTTCCTCTCCTTGGCCCGCGGCGCCTGCCTTAGCCCGCTCCACGGGGAGGGAGCGCGAAAGAAAAGAGATTGGACAGTGTATTTTTTTTGGAAAACAGGCAATCACGAGGATCATTACAGCTCAGAGTTCATTTCTTGGCTTACACAGTAATGGGAGACTCTTTATTCTAATCGTTCATGATTTATTAGCCAATTCTCTGATTATCATAATTACTCAAAATACAGAGAATAAAAATAAAACGAAAACTGTTGCCTCCAGGCTGATTCAGTTGTGCGTTTACCAGCTGTTTTTTCTACTTGAATGTTCAGAAATCCCATATACTGTTAGGGTGATTGGCAATAAATTTAAATGAACGCTGTTAGGGTGATTGGCAATTTGGGGTGACTTTTTTTTTAAATAGATTTTATTTATTTATTCATGAGAGAAACAGAGAAAGAGGCAGAGACACAGGCAGAGGGAGTAGCAGGCTCCACGCAGGGAGCCCGATGCAGGACCCCATCCCACGACCCCGGGGTCACACCCTGAGCCGAAGGCAGATGCTCCACTGCTGAGCCACCCAGGTGCCCCAGTGACTTTGATCGCTCATGCTTTAACGGCAGCGTTTGGAGAATTTACAGAAACCACTGCCCTACCCTCGTAAGAGGTTTTCACTCAAATACTGAATTACATTTATGGTCTCCAGAGCTGTTTTTCAACAAGTGATGCAAGCATTGCCACTTCACTTTAGTGCCTTTGAAACAAGAGCTCTTCCCAATCCAGCAGTTTCCATCTTCCTGAAATGGGCAGAAGTGTAAGGCCCTTCAGTACCCTCCCTGAACGGAGCCTCCTCATGTGTGAAAGGGAAATAAACGCCTCTAACTCAGGAGCCACCCCAAGGATTAGGTTAGTACCAGGGTCACAAGGAATGGTAAACCGTCAGCAGCATCCGGCCCCACGCAGATGTCCCACAGGAGCTCCGGTGCCGGGCGGGGCCCACTGCCCTATGACCTCGGTTACTGGCACTGGAACTCTCCCACCCTATCAGGACGCTTCATCTTTTACAAACGGGACATGTTACAGCTCTATCCCATATCTCAGCGCCAGTAGCCTGGAAGAGCTTAGACTTGAGCTGGCGGGTCAACCTCCCTCCCAAGACCATGGCCTGTGCTCGTGCTTCTAGGCAGGATGTTTTGAACCTGCAAGAGAAGCGGTTTCCACCTACGGCAGACAGAGTGAAGGGAGTGCTGGCTCTTTGTGTGAAGGCTTCTGGGACACGGCTGCTCATTCCCATATTCATGAATAGGACCAACGTGGTCTCAAATAAATGGTCTCAAACGAACGCCAGCGCACACTTCAGGGATCTCGTTTGTTTGTGAGCAGAGAGAGACTGTGGCCCCGAATAACGTGCATCCCTGTGTGCCAGGAAAGTGACTTTCTGCAAGTTTAAAGGAGAGGTGTTTGTCGCGGTCCGGGGAGCTGGGGGGAGCTGGGGGGAGCTGGGGGGAGCTGGGTGGGGAGCTGGGTGGAGCTGGGGGGAGCTGGGGGGAGCTGGGTGGGGAGCGGGAGGGGGCAGGCGGATGGTCTAAGGACCTCAGGAAGCAGACAGACAGGAGTCAGATGAAACAGGCAGATCCACACTGGGCTCGGCTGGAGGGTGGCTGGATTGTGGCTGCCTTCAAGGCGCGGCTCCTGGCTCTGTGACAAGCAGTATCTGTGCCCACGGGCGTGCACCGGGCCGGCGTGCCATCCCCAGTCCCAGAGAAGCCTTTCATCGCCGCGCTGAGCGAGTCACAGGGACGGTGGGGAGGATCCTGTGGTCAATGGAAATGGGGCAGACAGAGCAGGGGGGAGCAGTCTGCTTTGGTCATTTTCTTCTGGAACGTCACCGCAAGCCTGAGTCAGCACTTGCAGGTGCTTCTAATCTGATACCACATGGGTGGTAGCTCCAGATTGATCCCCTTTACACAAGCGACCTATGCTCACAGTCTTTCTGAATTCTCTATTATTTACGACAAGTAGAGGCGATAGGAGGCCACACAGCGGCGCAGAGGAAAAAGATCTTGGTATCAAATGCAGTAAAAAAGAAAAGGCAAAATAATTTCTAGTGTGTGATCCTTGGGATTTACATGATTCAGAAAAGCAGTAAAACCATCCTTAGATCAAGGGGCCATCAGGCAGTCTCCACCCCCGCTCTCAGACACAGGCTTTCCGCGGAAAGGATCCGTGGTTTCTCATGTACTGAGTCTATGGGACCCGTGAATTAGGGGCTCAGGGATGAAGCCATGGTCCCACCCTGCCTTCCCTCCACGTCTTCTCCCCTTATGATGATCGAGGGAACACCTCTTCCTTCTCTCCCGAGTGTCTCCACAGGCTCCTTCCAATAATGCCAGGTAGTCAGCCTGAGTGAGCGTCTTCGGTTCCAGGAAGCTTTGCTATTTGTCACATTTTGGAAAAGAGGCGTATGATTCCAGGGGGCTTTCCTAGTGTAATACGGTAAGACCGATACAGTCTCGGTTTGGTCCGTGACACCTGACACGGCGGAGCTCTGAGACCCCTTGGAATGTGTGGGTGACAGGAGCCTCTTCTGTTCCAGAGGGGGGCGACTCTTGGCCGGCCCCTAGCTAGAATCAAGATGGGGGCTGGATACCAAGAAGACCAAGGTGTGATTAGAGGGTTGTGACTTCTGGGGAGGGGAGGGGGGCCAGAGATGGAGCTCATCTTATGGTGATTTAATCAACCATGCCCATGTAATGGATCCACCATAAAAACCCCTAAACGGCAGAGTTTGGAGAGTTTCCAAGCTGGTGACCACGCGGAGGTGCCAGGAGAGCAGGGTGTGGAAGCTCCACCCCCACCCGCATTCCTGGCCCTGCTCAGCTCTTCCGTCTGGGCTGGTTGGTGCTGAGCTGTAGCCTTTAGAACAAAGCGCAAAATGTAAGTAACATGGTGTCTTGAGTCTGTGGGATCTTCTAGCAAAGCCTTGAACCTCAGGAGGGGTTCATGGGGACCCCTCCTTTACAGCCGGTCTGTCAGAAGTAGGGGAGGCCAGGGATTGCGAGTGGCTTTGGGCGGAGGGCGGCTTGTGGTCCTGAGCCCTTAACTGCAGGATCTGACCCTAACTCCAGTTACATAATGTCAGAGAGCTAGAAGGAGTGTTGGAAGGGACACCACTGTTTGGTAGCAGGAGGGAGAGCATCTCACTTGGTGGCAGAGGTGTTATGACTCCAAACGGTGTGGGTTTCAGGATCTGGACACATCCACATCCATCAAGGATCTTTCTGACACCGAGCAGCAGGTGCCGTTCTCGGATGCCGGAAGGTGACAGGATTTGTGTGGACTTCCGGTGCCAGCAGTGGCCTATGACCCGTCGTGACACCAAACGGAATATACATTTACATAAAGATGCCATGAGTCGATCGAAAGTAAGCCTGAGTAATCCAGACCTTCGTAAACTGTCTTGGGGCCAGGAGCCAAGACTCAACGGGGGAGGCGAAAATGTGTTTTTTTTTTTTTTTTTCCCAGAAGGGAACGAATGGCCTCACTGCCACTTATTGTGACAAACGGCTCACCCCGAAGAGCAGACAGCGTATCTGGCCGCTCGGCTGAGTGGGCAAGAGGGGGGATTCTAGAGCCAGACTGCCTGGGTTCCAGTCCTAGCTCAGTCACCAGTTGGCAGCGCCACCTTGGGACAAGTCACTAGACCTCTTGAAAAGTCCCCTTGACAAACCCTATTTTCTCATCTGTAAAATGGGAGTAAACACTGAGAATTTTAAAAGAAGCATAAAGTTAATATTTTAAAAATATTGATAACGGTGCCTCGCATTGATCACATGCATGTGCGTGTTGAATACGCCGGGAGGCAGGGCTTCTTGCTGTTTCCAGGCGAGGTGGTTTGCGGCCTGATTGCTGTCTCAGAGACGCCTTAAGAGACCGGGCGGTGGGGTGAACTGCGCTGCTTTACCTAGAAACCGGCCGGAAGTCAGCCCAGCCCAGCTTCCATCTCTGCTGGGCCTCCATTTAAGCGGATGTCTGAGAATCTCCACCAGAAAGACCCAGCCAGGCGCAGAGAGGGGAGCCCCTCGGCCACTCAGCTGGCTTCCTGTCTGTGCACGGCTCCCAGCAGCGGCCCTGTTGTCACCTGCTGTCCAGGCTCCGGCCTGGGACTCAATCCACCGTCATCAACCCTAAGTATGCTTATGGATGGGGCCGGGTGGGCGGCTCCACGAAAGCCGGGAGCTGGCATCGGTGACTTTGGAGGCTCCTTCTGGAGACCCTGCAGCAATCTTAGCTCAAGAGCACACTCAGGTGCAAACCATCTCATTGCAGGACAGAGACACCTCGGCCTCAACTCAATGACCTGAGGGCTCAACAGCCCTTATCATGAAGTCCCAGTGGTCCCAGTGGCACATCCACGTCCTCGTGCCTTGATGGATGGTGGGTTGGGTCTGGTTTACTGATGGGCGAGAACACGAACGGCCTTATGTGTAAGACGGGGAACTAGGAGGCATCTGATATACTTCCAGATTCCGGAAAAACAGATAATTTCATTACAGTTAGCAATCAGAGGTCTTTGAAATTCCAATAGAAGTATCAATAGCCCCAGGACCTTTTCTGAGAGTGCTTTGCTTTCAACAGTTAAACGGTCTCTGAAGGACAAGAACTCATCTGGGGATGAAAATTCAAGTATGTTTCCACCGGCAAAAGTCGTTTCAAACAAGGATGGGCTATTTGAGGAAATATTGCGTCTTATCAGTATTTATGTTCACAAGAGCACTCCTGTGGTTTGTCAGTCCCAAGGCCAGAGGACAGATGGACCGATTACTGGTCCTGGGATGAGGAGACCAAGGCCCCAAAAGTTAGTCTTTCCCATCACACCAGTAGAACTCGCTCCGTGGTTGTGTCCTGGTTCCGAGTTTATTTCTTCAAGAGTTGGCGTCATCTCTAAGTAAAACTCTAGGTAAAACTCAACATCTAGGTGATGTTGCTAACCACCTAGAACAGTCCCTGACAGATACCAGGCACTCCACAAACACTTGTGGGCGCAGGGATTGACATTTTAAAGTATCCAAGGATGGGGGCACCTGGGTGGCTCTGGTTAAGTCTCTGCCTTCGGCTTAGGTCATGATCTCGGGGTCCTGGGATCGAGCCCCACGTCGGGCTCCCTGCTCAGCGAGGCGCCCGCCTCTCCCTCTCCCGCTCCCCCTACTTGTGCTCCCTCTCTTGCTCTCAGATGAATAAATAAAATAATCTTTAAAATATCCAAGGATGCCGTATCTTCGGCTGTTCTGAAAGGCTAAGTCCGCCTCGCAACCACCCATTGGGCACAACCTAGAACGAAAGGATGCTCACCAGGCACAGTCACTGCTGCGCTTCAAATTATTTATTAAGCATTGAGCCACATGAGAGAACAATGGAAAGACCACAGGTATAATCTCAAGTCCCACAGTCCTAGAATATCCTGGAAAATATTTCGGTAAACCTCTCCCACCACTGGTGACATCGAGAGCATGATTTCTTAATCAACAGTCACAAGTGAATAATGAATAGAAGCTACATGCACTGGGATCAAGTTTTCAGACAGCAAGTAATGTTTCTTCATTGGTAAGAGAGTGAGCACACATGAGCACAAGCTCCAGGAGAACGTCCCAGGGAGAAGCGTGACGCCGCAGGCGGGCCTGGGTCCCCGGAGCCACACGTTGACTGTCTTCTCGTTCCATGATGTCAGGTACGCTTCTTTTCAACGTTTGAGCTCTACGGCGGAAAAAAATACGCATGAACATATGGCTACACCCCCCACACACACACCCAGGAAATGAAAGAATTGGTATTTTGGATGCATCTCGCTAGAATGGAGAGAGAGAATGTGCCCTTTCTCCTCCACCGACCTGGTTGGAACTGTGCCCCGTAGATGCATGTGAAGCGTCAGAGACGAGGTCGGTGGCCAAGCTGGCCTCCCTTGGACACATTTTATCAGTGTCAGCTGGATTCTGTGCCCCATGAAATGGGGAGAATTCCTTCTTTCCCTCGGAATTATGACTGCGTACATTTGATCTGATAATCTCAGGTCATGATCCAGGGTCCTGGGATCAAGTCCTGCATCAGGCTCCCTGCTCAATGGGTGGGGAGCGGGGGGGGGGTGTCTGCTTCTCCCTCTGCTGCTGCTGGTGCTCGTGCTTTTTCGCTCTCTCTCCCCCCCTCAAATAAATAAATAAAATCTTAAAAAAAAAAAAAGAAAAAAGAAGACAAAGTAAAAACGTGTCTAAGTTCCTAAAAGATCATGACAGCATGTGGGTCCTACCTCCCTGGGTGGAAACCCCGGCCCAGGCAGCCGTGGAGGCAGCGCCGGGGGCAGATTGGGGGCAGAGACGAGGACAGGGCCGGGGACAGCGTACCTCAGCCGGGCTCTAGTCCCTGGGGGCGGCCAGGAGGCTGGTGGCCAGCTGAGCGACGTGCTCCCAGGCCAGCTGCACGTGGGCAGATTCCACGGTGCGGGCGCAGATGGCAAAGCGCAGCACGAACTTGTCTCTGAGGTGACAGGGAACCAGGTGGATTTTTTTGGCGCTGTTTATTCTTTCCAGGAGCTCCTCGTTCAGCCTGTTGGAACCCTGCAGAGACGGAGAGACGGTCCAAAGGACTCCGACCCCGACTGGCCTCCGAGGACGGCTGGCATCCGGCGACGCTGCCGCACGTCCGCTAGACGACGGGCCGCCTTACCACTTGCCTTTCATTTCCCAGGGTGAGGAGTTCAGTTACGTGGCCGTGGGAGACCACAGCCTCCCCCTACGGGCTCTCCACCGGTCCAATCACTGCCCAAGGATGACCCTTCCCCTTCCCCGGGCCAGGCTTTGTAAGGAAAACGGAGCTCCCTAGGCATGTGATCTACAAGCTGATGCGCTTCAGCGACCGAACTGGGGCTCCGGAGGCAGCCGCCGCCAGGATCGCTCCCAAACAGAGAGAAGAGACAGGAAGTACAGCCAACCTCGAACCTGGGCAAGCCGCCCGTGAACTGTGGCACAGAGGGGCCATCGGCAACCCCCCGGGGACAAGGAGCAGCCCAGCGAGCCGGGGCGGGCACCCTGCGGGGCACCGCTGCTCTCATGCACCTGCCTCCCCTGCCCCAGCGCTCTTCTGCTTCCAGGAGGTGCCTCCCCCCATCTCATCATCACGCGTGAAGGGGGATGGGAGTGGGGCCTCGCCTCCCTGCTCTGTGGCCCTCATGGGGCTCGTGCATTTGCCTTCTCGTTCTGTCTTGAGAGTCGAGAAGCAGGGAGAACAGAGGGTGAAGAACGGTCCGGCTCCGCTCAGTCGCACACTGGCCGACGCCGGGGCCACCCATGAGCCCAGCAGACCCTCCCTGCCGCCGGCTGCGGGCCTCCGTGGGGCGCCTACGGGGCCCAGTGCAGGACCTGGGCCAGGTCTAGACACAGCCTGTCCTGCCCAAGGATGATGCTAGGGAAGGAACAACACGTGCACTTCACCAGGAAGACCCAGGCCAGAGCAAACAGGCGTAGGCGTACAGTGGAGACATCAAAAGCACATTATTTAGGGAAAATGTGCCTGCCGTTTTCAAGTGGGTGAGGCGAGGTATGTCTTCTATTAAGTGGAGGAAGAAGCCAAGCAGAGAAAGCAGTCGGAGAGAAGGGGAGGGGGAGGGAGGGGAGGACGGGGAGGACGGGGAGGGAGGGGGACCCCAGTGTGCATCTGAAGCCCCGGGGGGTGCAGAGGACGGAATTCACCCTGGAGCAGGACGGCTCGGGAGACGGGGACCAGCAGGCGCACAGGGAAGCAGGAACGCGGCCCGCGTGCCTCGATGTGCTTTCTCGAGAAGACACGGGGTCGGTGGCACGGAAGCCCCCAGCTGACCTGCACAGAAGGGAACTCTGCTGGCCACCGGGCACCCCGGGCTCTGGAATAGGTGGGACTCTCCGCGCCGCATGGACAGATGGGGTCGGGCAGGTCGGGGGCACGGAGGCTGGCGTGGGGGGGACGATGAGGGCCTCAGGTCGCCGTGGTGGCCGCAGGACCCCACACTTATGCTGAGCCCCACACGGGTGCAGCTGACCCCCGCGGACCCCATGGGGACCGCACGGATCGCTGTCCACGCGGGCTTCTTTCGATAAATCCGGCGCAGCTCAGCAAGCGTGTTTTCTCTTCCTAGTGGTTTTCTTCCTAACGGTCTCCCTTCTGTGGCTCGCTGTAGGAATGCGGCGAACACCCGGGGCACACACGACCGGCGGGCCTCCTGGTCCGCAGTCTGGGGGCGAGTCCCACGCGGATGCCAGCTTCGCAGGGGTCAGCGCCCCTCGCCCCCCACCTGGGCTTTACATGGACGCAGTGTGCGGTGTGTGCGTGACCAAAGAGTGCAAGTCCTGCGCGAACACCGGCGAGTCAAAGCAAAACGAAACGTCTCTTCCCCGGCAAACGCATCGAAGCCCGCCGCCAACACCAGGGCCGACTGAGCCGCGGCCCGTGCTCTGGGCACCCGGGGACCTGGCCGCTGGGAGCCAGTGCTCCGAGGCCTCCCCGTCTTCTGCACGTGGGGTCTCACCGCCGTGCACCTGCACGGAGCTCACGGCCCCCTCACCGAGCCCTGCGTGGGAACACCAGCACCCCACAGTCTCTGAAGAGTCCAGGCTTTCTTGTGCCTGCTTCTCTCTCTCTCTCTCTCTCTCTTTTAAAGGATTTTATGTATTCATGAGAGACACACAGAGAGAGGCAGAGACACAGGCAGAGGGAGAAGCAGGCTCCATGCAGGGGGAGCCCGACGTGGGATTCGATCCCGGGATCCCGGGGTCACGCCCTGAGCTGAAGGCAGGTGCTGCACCGCTGAGCCCCCCAGGTGCCCCTCTTGTGCCTGTTCCTCCTTACCCCCTAGGAGCTCCAGGAATCAGTGACGGGGAGGATAGGGTCAGCGGGAGGCCACATTTGGATGACAGCACGTTGACCTGCACAGGCCTAGCCCTCCTCCCCTTGCTGACCTCCCGCATGGAAACATGGAGCCAGTGGAAAAGGCAGGTGGCAGCGCGCACGGCCAGCTCAGCTGCACAGGCCAGCACCTGGCCCCCCTCCGGCCTCCCTCCCACAGATAGATTGATAAGGGGCCTGTGTGCACAGCCTCTCTCGAGGACCTTCCAGAAACGTGGCCATGATCCCCAGCAGACACGGCTTGTGCCGTCCACCCTCTGGGCCAGCTCCCCCCCACCCCGCGTGCGCACACACACACACACACACACACTCACACTCATGAGTAGGGCAGCAGGACAACAGACCAGCATTTCTCAACCCTCTGCACACACCTGGCCACCTAGAGGGGCCCGTGAAGATGCCGGGGTCCGCAGGTCGGGGCTGGGGCTGGGGCTGCTCTGGGAGTGACCCCCCGGTTAGTGAGCCTGTGTACAGGTTACGGCTCAGAGCATCGCAGTGGCAGCCGTGTGGATGGAGAAACCGGGGAGCATTCTAGGACCAAAGGTCTACACACGCAAGAAGTGTCAGCTCCGTGGAGGAGGGGCAGCAGGGCCTGGACCCAGGGACCCCAGGCGGCAAAATGCCTGGTGACTTCTGAGGTTCTGGGGAGCCAGCGTGCTGCTCTGAGCACCCAGGTGACACATGATCCTCCCTCCCCGCCCACCCGTCAAAGGGAACGGGGACTAAAGCCACAAACCTACCTTTAGCCGGAAACAGACCAGCCCCAGGGTGACTTCCGTGCAGATTTCAAAGCGGGGATCCTGTTGCACCAAACGCTCGAACTGGTGAGCCAGGCCGACGTGCTGCAAAGGGGAGAACCGCCGCCTGAGTTCCCCAGGGCCGCGCAGCTCGGGACTCAGCCACCTGGAGACGCTTCCTGGGCCGCGGCTGCCGCTCAGGGACGTGCTCCCAGCCACCTCCGCCGAGTGCTCGTCACCTACACTCAGGGCAGGACGACACTCGCCACCCCGACGGGAGGATCGTGGGGTCTTCAGAAAAACCCCAACTAATGTTTTCTTCTGTGCGGTGGACCCTTGAATCCCACCAAAACAACCCATCAGCACTTCAGAACGAAGGTTGGGAAGAGGGACGTGAAGGTGCTTGTGCAGCGAGAGCGGCCCCCGCAGCCCTTGCACCCACACAGGAGAAGGACAGCACCTGTCACGTTCGGCACACGCCTTCGTCTCACTGAATTCCCCACCTCACTTGGCTCTGCGGGGTTCACGGAGCCCCATAGGGGATTCAAATAGGATGTGAACTGAGAACAAGCCCGCGTGGCCTGCGCACCTGCTGCGCACTCCGGACCCTGAGCGAGTGTGGCCCGGTCCCAAGCCACCCTCAAGGGCTGCTCCCGGGCAGAGGAATAGGTCTGGGGCCGCTAGAGGGCAGCAGAGACTGTGCTGGCAGGTGCACCGCCCCCCCCCACCCCAGCGAGGGTCCAGAGGAGCCCCACCTGCCAAGGGACCGGCTTTGAGCATCCCCTCCCTCCCCGCGAGGCCGGGCGCCCAGAGGCGGGTGTGGAGTGTTTTCACAGGAAGCGCTTGATCACACCCCGGGGGCCCTGAGCTTAAAGCTGGAATCGTCTGGCGAGTTAAAGCCCTTCTCCTCCTTCCCCAGAGCTGAATCCTCACTGTGCTGGAGGACATGTTCTCCTGAACTCACGTGCGCAGTCCTGCCTCGTCCCTCACCCCAGAGACCACGGCCGTCCCCGCTCCCACGAAGCCCAAGAACCTCTGTCCATCAAGATGGGGCCGGGGCTGAGGACAGACACCGGCGTGGGAGGGAAGCGCTGGGACCCAGCAGCCTGCTGCAGCCAGCTAAAGGGGGGGGGGTGTCTTGGGGGGGGGCAGCATATACTCTGGCCTCAGTTTCCTCAATCGTTAAAAAAGAAAAAAAAAGGCAGGGTGGTGGGGCCTGAAGTGGCTCTCCCTCTGTAGGCTCGTCACGGAGGCCTGGTTCACTCAGTCAAACAGGTCGCCGGGACTCACCTGGAGGGTCCAAGGCCATGTGCGGGCCACTGCTCGGGGGCGCACCGGGCACCCCGGGGCTAGGAGCTAGCCATCCCCAGCCGCCTGGAGACCCTCCCGGGCTGGCGGTGCTTGGAGCAGAGCGTACTGGGTTCTCCCCACCGCTCCAACACTGTTGCCTGGACCCGCCACGGGCAGACGTGGCAACAGTTCGGGCTGTGGGGGGTGTTGGCTCCGCAGCCTCCGGGACCTGACGGCCCTGGTCCCCACGGGCGTGTGCAGGTCTGTCATCCTGCACCGACTGCCCACCCTCAGGAGTCCGAGCTATCTGGCCGAGCCAGACACCGTCCTTCATTTCTAAGCTCCTACGGAAGTCCCCATGTGACCCCCAGAAGTGATGAACGCACAGTCACCTTGCGGATGTAGGCCTGCAGCCCCTTGACCCGTACATCCTAAAAACAAACCACATCTTCAAGGAGCGGAATCTCCGGCCCAGGGGCAGCTGCCAGTGCTGGAAGAGAACAGAACACGCTGCGTCAGGGGGCAACGTACCGAGAGCTGCTCTCCTCCGGCTCACCGGGCGCCTCCTGCCCTTGGAGGAGCAAACCCCCTGGAGGTCCCCTGGCCGGTCCCCTGCCGCCCGTGCCGATGCAAAGCCGACTGTGCGGTGAGCAGCGCCTGCAGCTGGAGCCTTCTGTGCAAAGCTCCGAGACACGGGAGGACGGACAGGTCGCTCCTGGGGAGGCACGATGTCCCCTGAGCAGATGCCGGCGGGGCTCACCGACCGGCGGGGGCAGCAGAGTGGGGCCGGTTGCTCCGTCCGTCCATCCATGGGAAGGAGGAAGGACCAAGCCGACACCCACACCTTCCGCTCCGCAGGCTCCCTGGGACGTCCTGGCACCCTTTCCTAGAGCAAGAGTGACTCTCCCTGCCCTGCTCGCAGTGACCTGCAAGATGGTCACTAGAAAATACAACCACAGGGTGCCCGGGGCGGGGGGGGTCCATCTGTGAAGCGTCTGCCTTCGGCTCAGGTCATGAGCTCAGGGTTCTGGGATCAAATCCCACATTGGCTCCCTGCTCAACGAGGATCTGCTTCTCCCTCTGCTTCTCCCCTTGCTTGTGCGCTCTCTCTCTTTCTCTCTCAAATAAATAAAATCATAAAAAAAGAGAGAAAAGAAAAGCCCAACATGTTGGTCTTCAAATAGTCTCTCTTTAGCTTGTCCCCAGTTTGTCAGCTGGCTGGCACTCTACGGGCTGTGGGGGCCTCCATGGTGGCAAAGGTGCTGAAGCCAGCAAGAAGGGACACGGAGGGGGGGAGGGCAAGGGGGCATCTGGCACGAGAAAGCAGGGGCATGTCGCTGTGACTCCCAAGAGCCCCATCCTGGACTTGCAAAGATGCCCAGGGCAACGCAGTCTCCCTTCCTGCTCCCTGGACCTCCCTGCAGGGCACAGCTCGCAGACGGGGCTGGTGAGTGCAGGGCCGCGGCAGGAGGGGGTTAGGCCTGGACCCTCCCGCAGGGCTCGGGGTGCACGGCTCCCCCGTAGCCCGGGGCAGGCAGGTGTCAAGCCGTGCGCTGGGCGCACCCACGGCCGAGCCACTTCTGAACTTGGGGCTCCCAGCAAGGATTTCACAGGAGGCTCTCGAGTGGGAGAGAGAAGCGGGGACCCGATATTGACACTCCGGCATCTGACACAGTGTCGCTCGGGGTCCCCCAGGCGCTGGGCCCGGTGGGGTCACGGGTCATACCACTGTCTTCTTAGCGCTGTGAGAAGAGGCCAGGGGGACACGTTCGGCGCCACGGCGTCCCCGGCAGACGCACGGCGGCCGACCCAGCACTGTGTCTGCAGGCTGCTGGGGGGTCGTCAGTAAAAACGGAACCAACGCGTCTTTTTGGAAAATCGGAAAGAAGATCCTTCACCTTCCCGGCTAACTGACTAAGTAGGCAGTAAAGCCATCGTCTCCTGCCTTTGTCGCGCACCGATGCTGCGTTCCAGAGCCTTTCGTCGCCAAGCCGACAAGCTGCGCATCCCAGTGAGGTCTACGTCTAGCAGGGGGACGCACAGCAGGGCGAAGCTAACCTCTCCGTCCTGGAGTAGCAGGTGCTCACAGGTGAATCGAGCGCTCATTCGCACGTGGCCCTAAAGTGCTGTCATGACCTGAGCCCGGGACAGGACGGAGGTAGGTGCCCCCGGAGCAGAAACGGCCCGTGCACTCAGCTCCCCGTGCACGCAGCCCGGATGCACAGAGGGGACGGGACTCCGGGTCCTTGCTGTTCCAACCCCCGCCCCTCGCCCACCCCATGCCGTTCGGTGGAATATTCCGACCACTGTGCTGATACAGCAGGAGGAAGGTCCGTTCCACCGTCCTGCACGGGCCGCCTGGAAGGATCCCGCACGCAGAAGCCCGCTCCAGGTTTCTGGGACACAGCGGAGCCATTTCTGGGTACTTTCCCTCCACACCTGAAACATTCTAAACCCTGTCTTCGGCACGTCCTGTACAGCGTCCCGCTCGCGAGAAGCCACCAACGAGGACCGGGAGGCGCATTTCCCTCACCAAAGGGCCTTGGGAGCCTCGGAGTGAGAGCTTCTGACTTAAGTCCTTGGTTCTCTTTTAACCGTGTTCCGCAGATTCCTTGACTTCGCTGACCCTGTGTCTCCGCGTCTGTGAAACGGGGATCAGGGTCCCCACTTTGCCCAGGACCACGTGCATCGTTGGCAAACGACACCACGTTTCCACCGCCGGCCTGCCGCCACGGGCGGACGCAGTATGAACCCCCTTCGCCGACGTGTTCCCAGCTCCCTCCTCGTGGTGCTGACGCTGCCCTCAGGCCCGGTGCCTCCTGCCAGCGCGGTGCTCACCCCTGGAACCCCCCACTTCCCCAACTAGCCTGGGAGACGGCCCGGAATCCCAGTGTCTCCTCCGCAGCCCCAGGGCGGTGGCCACCTCAGGCTGGGCTCCCAATGTCTTTGAACAAAATGATGATGATGTCAATCATAGTCTTTTTTCTTGGTCTGCTGAGCCTGGCCCCAGGGCATTTGCCCAGAATTCACTCTAAAGGAAGAGCCTGGGCACCGGGGCATTTGCCTGGAATTCGCTCTAAAGGAAGAAACCATGAAAGAGCTCCAGAGGCATCTATAAGCGCATAGAAAAGGAAAGATGTCCCTATATCGGAGCTAAGACAGCAGTAAAATTGCCAGAAAATACGGTCTGGGGCCCTGTAGGGCTGTGGCACGGGGAGAGGGTCAGGTGGGAGGCGGGGGACACTAGTGGCTTTGATGAGGGAACCAAGGAACAGCCACTCATAGGTCAAGACTGGTGCCCCAGGCCCTTTGCATGGCCAGGGCCCAGCACAGGCTCCCACTGACCTGTGTGGTCTTTCCTGGTGGGACGCCCTGCGTTTGTCCCATGGGACCTCTCCTACTTCGTGGAGTTGGTATTCCAAGGGCTAACTTATGGGCATCAGCTCTTCGAAAACTCTCTACTCCAAAACAATTTTCCCCATCCTTCTAACTTGATCCTCCATAAATTTCACTGTTTATTCATTAATCGTGAAATATCTGCTAAGGATACACTAGGTGCCATCCCCTGGCATTGCTGGGAAGGGGCAGTGAAGCACACAACGATCCAGGAGGACCTCCCAGGCCAGGTGGATGTGGGTGAGGCCGGCTGCCGCGGCGCTGCACACCTGCCTGGATACGGGTCTTTGAAGAACAGCAGGTGGACCAACCTAAGGCTGTCCACACGTGACACGCAGCTCACAAGCCACCGGTGCGTAATGGCTGAGGCCTCGTTATCATAAGGCATTAGACGTGGCATAAGGAGACACTGAAGTCCAGGGGACGGGCTGAGGGGTTGAGACACGGGGACGCTTCCCTTGGGCCGGAAAGGGCCATCAGAGAGGAGCGACACGTTTGAGGTCTGTCTCAGAACAGCGGCCCATGGCGCTGTGCGGAACGGCCATCCTGGCCCGTGTGGCCACCTGGGCCCCGTGCCCCTCGGGAGCCTGGGGGTCCGGGAGGGAGTGGGGGGCCTCACTCACCTCTCAGCGGCTGCCAGCGCCATACACGGCCCCCGGCTGAGAACGGGGCCTGCCGTCGGAGCACCCCTGAGGTCTCTGGCCCTGCTCCCCAGGGCCCTGCAGGTGCCGGCCCCGGGCGCACAGCAGCTGCGCACAGCACGGGGCCGCGGGTCCAGGCGCAGCGCCCACCCCGACAGGAACCTGGGCGCAGAACTGCCTGCCTCCATCCCAAAGGGCGGGCAAGATGACTCCCCCCGACCCGACACCCAGAGTCGCTGGGCTCAGCAGAGCTGTCCGCGGCCTGGCTTGCTTAGCTACCTAGGACCTAGGTAGACGCGGTCCTCCAGGGCGCCCCTGACCCCGAGAGGAATGGAGCCCACGACAGCTCCCAGCGCTGCCTTCACACCTGTGGTTACCTGAGACCTGGACTCAGCGAGCGGGATCTCCCACTTACCCTGTAGTCGGTGATGAGCCCTGCAAAAGGGAAAGGAACAAACAAAAAGAAGCCATTAGACACATTGGTCGATTGCATGCCTAATCCTCCTCATTTTCAAGATCGATTTCTTGTTTTGTTTTGTTTTTAAATTGTATTTATTTAATCATGAGAGACACAGAGAGAGAGAGGGGCAGAGACACAGGCAGAGGGAGAAGCAGGCTCCATGCAGGGAGCCCGAGGTGGGACTCGATCCCGGGTCTCCAGGATCACGCCCTGGGCTGAAGGCAGGCGCTAAACCGCTGCGCCACCCAGGGATCCCCAAGATCGATTTCTTGTGTCCCCCCCATCATCTCCTCCGTGAGACCACAGAGGGCAGGGGCTGGGTGTTCTCCTTGGCACTTCCCAAGGTCACGGATCCACGGGGCTTTCCAGAACAAAGTGGAAATGCTGGTCGACGAGGGGCTTCCCATTTGCTTTGCTTTCTATGCTTCCACAAGCACAACATCTGAGCTCTCTTCTCTTGCCCACTAGTAACTCGGCGTTCGGCTCCTGAAGACCTCATCGTGCACTCATTTGTGCGTGGGAAGGTGAACTGGTGACATACAGAGTGATTAGACCGTAAGACAAGCACCCGGCTGGGGAGGGGCGTCCGTGTCTGCATCCCCGGATCTCAGCCCAGAGCCCGGCACGGGGCAGACGCCGGTGAGCAACCACTGGAGCCGAGTCATCACCCTGGATTCAGATGGCTTCGTTGTGGTCACAGAAAAGGCGGGTTTGCGTTCGGTCTCCCCTTGCACCTAACGCAGCCGAGCCAAGGATTTTGGTGGACAGAGCCTCTCACCAGTGGGAGTCGCCCCGGGGTGACCTCAGGCAAGCAGTCGCCTGGGAATTGGGAACATGCGCGGAGGTCCTGTGTTTTGAACATCTGATCCTCCAGTGTAGGTCCAGACGGGGCACGCTGCGGCGCACCGGTGTCCCCGCTTCCGCAGCAGGAGCAACGGTAGCCTGGCCGTAGCAGGCCCAGGCCGCAGGCAGCTGGGACGAGCGCCACCCAGCACCCCCACCCCCACCCCCACCCCCGCCAAGACCGCTCTTCAGTGATTCTGCAGACGGGTCTACATTCCACGTATACGGAAACCTAAAGTTGTTGCTTATCACCGGCTCTTTGACTCTCCTCTGGAGACAACAGGTGTTCTCCCAATCAGGGTCGCAAAATGGTGGCGATGGGAAAACGTGGGGGGCCATCCTGCAAGGCTCCGCCTCCTGGTTTTATGAGGGACCCTGAGACCGAAGCCCGGAGTCGCACAGCCCTTGGCAACTCCCAGCCCCTGCCCTCTGCACCGTATGAAACACACTGTGAAGCAGATGTCCCCAGCAGGGTCACCGGCAGTGACCCAACAGCGAGGCACGCAGGCCAGCAGAAATGAAAGAGCCGCGGCCCAAAGTATGCGTGGCATGTAATGAGCACCGGGCAAGGGTCTGCTCGGAACCCAGATGACGTCGTGCATGAAGACGCATGAATGACCCTCCTTTGTTCACATCACACGCAAAGTGCAGAACCGAGGCAGGGACGTGCTGGCACGGCAGCCGCTCCCACGTTGCTGCCCGACGGCTGCCGCCGGTCACCATCCCCCGAGTCCAGCAGTGTTCCAGCAGCAGCACCACCGGATCCGAGGCTCCGGGGGGACAGAGAGACAACAGGCAGGAAACCAGTGGGTGAGATGGCTGCGTGGCCAGACTCACGTGCCATGCAGGGTATCGGCTCCAGCGGAGAGATCTGGGAAGACCTCACGGGGGGGGGGGGGAGGCTTTCGCCCTGGACCCAGTGACGGAGGCATCCTAAGGCACCCACGCAGGATAACCCGCTGCTGCGGCCTCGCGAGCTGAGTGCACAGCATGAGGGGCCACAGGGCAGTTCCTTTTTTTTTAATTAATTAATTTAATTTTAATTTTAATTTTTTTCCCCAAAGGGCAGTTCTGACAGTCTTTTTAAATAGTTAATAAGGAGCCTTTTATTATCACATAGAACGGTTTAAAAAAAAAAACAAAACCTTGGGGGACACCTGGGGGGGGGCTCAGCGGTTGAGCATCTGCCTTCAGCCCAGGGCGTGACCTTGGGGTCCCAGGATCGAGTCTCACATCAGGCTTCCTGCACGGAGCCTGCTTCTCCCTCTGCCTGTGTCTCTGCCTCTCTCCGTGTCTCTCATGAATAAATAAAATCTTAAAAAAAAAAAAAACACAAACAAACCCTGTAAAACATAGTTTTCATTTCAAGGAGCACAAGGCTTAGCGGCACCAGGGCTAAATCCGTGCAGATAAATATGCCCTTACAGCCATTGGCCATAAAAGCTGAAAGCTGATTTTTGGCGATCTACTTGTTAAACACAAAATGGGCCACTGTTTTTGTGGACTTATAGAAGTTTGTGGTCTTTTATTTTTTAGGGGAAAAATGCAAATCACTAATATTTCTCATCTCTAACAGCCATAGCAAATATTTCGATAGGAGGCAGCCTTTCTATAAAAGCAGCGTAAAAATACATTTTTGCGTGCCTCGAGCCGTAAGCCGTCCTCAGATGCCCCTCACTTAAATTCATTCCAAGAATCACTTCAAGGTTTAAGAGGCAACGCTTTGCTTTCTAACTGTCACGACTGCAAAGATTTTTATTATCCAAACATGAAATACACTTTTTTTTTTTTTTGGTAACATAAGAGCTTGGCAGTTGGTTCAGAATTTCACATTGTTTCCTGCCAATTCTGTTTTTAAAAACTAGACCTTATTTTTTAGGGCAGCGTTAGGTCCTGGGAAAATCTGAGCAAGCGTAGCTGGGGGGAGGCGGGGGGCGGGGTCTGTGAACACCCACCGGGATGAGGGGATGAGCGTCTACGCCATACCTGAGAGCAACGCTTAAATAGTTCTGAGTTTGTTTTCAAAACCTTAAAAATTTGGAGGGAATTCAGAAATAATTACACCTTCTGGCTGTAAGTACTATTCATGTTTGGAAATGTTCATTTCATGCTTTTCAAAAGAAAAAAAAAATCTTTTGTATTGCTGGGATCATTCTTCGAAATATCCAATTCTTATTTCTTTGGTAAGAATCCCAGAATCTCAACCCAGGTGGTGGAGTCAGTGAAGCGTCTGCCTTCAGCTCAGGTCACGATCCTGGGGTCCTGGGATCGAGCCCCACATTGGGCTCCCAGCTCAGCGGGGCGTCTGCTTCTCCCTCTCCCTCTGCTGCTCCCCCTGCTTGTGCTCTCTTTCTCTCTCTCAAATAAACAAATAAAATCTTTTTTTAAAAAAAATCTCACAGAAATGTCCATGTCTCCCCGCTCCGCGCCCCCCCGGAGCCTGGCCTGAACTAACTTATGATCGGGCGTGTGGCTGTGGCCTAGGGCAGTAGCCACAGGAAACGGGCTATTTGGCATCTTCTGGGAAGTCCTGCAGCATCTCCGTGTGCCAGGGAGCATCGTGCTCCTCACTGGGACTCGCGCGCCTGGCCACGTCCCCTCTCCGCCCCAGTCATCCAGAAGCTCACAGCCAGAGCGCAGGCCTGGGGACGGCTCGGGTCCCACCGCAGGTGCAGGCACAGAGGCAGGTCTACAAACCCGACGGCGGAGATGCTGATCCTGCCCCGTGTCATCCGGGCTTCCTTGGCTCCCCTAACCCCCAGCCCCACTCCGCGTCCCCCGGGGGTGTTGGTACAAGCGGATGCAGCTCTCGGGGAGACAGTAGGGCGGTCATACTTTTATTTTATTTTTATTTTTTTATATAAATGTATTTTTTATTGGTGTTCAGTTTGCCAACATATAGCATAACACCCAGTGCTCATCCCGTCAAGTGTCCCCCTCCGTGCCCGTCACCCATTCACCCCCACCCCCCGCCCTCCTCCCCTTCCACCACCCCTAGTTCGTTTCCCAGAGTTAGGAGTCTTCATGTTCTGTCTCCCTTTCTGACATTTCCCACTCATTTTTTCTCCTTTCCCCTTTATTCCCTTTCACTATTTTTTATATTCCCCAAATAAATGAGACCATATAATGTTTGTCCTTCTCCAATTGGCAGTCATACTTTTAAAGGTCCTATGCAGGAGGTGTCCACGCCCATGTTGAAAGCCGTGTGGTGCCCCCGGCCCCCGGGGTCCCCTCCCAGGCCCCTGCACTGAGCACTTCCGGACTGGGGGCCCCACCCAAGGAGCCCGGGGCCCCATCAGCACCCTATCCCTGCCTCTACCCCTACCCCCGCCCCAGAGAAGGGGCTCCCAGGGGTTGGTCCGTGTGGACGCCAACCTTCCCCTCTGGCTTCTGGCAGAAATGCAGCTCCGAGGAACACAAAACCAGAACATGGCAGAAAGCGAGGACGCCAGCGTACCTGAGTCCTGATGGTTGTGCTTTAGGTAGAGAGGGTCCAGTTTAAAGGCTCCTATCAGGTCCGTCCTCTTTTTCACCCTGGTTTGAGAGAACAAATGGTGGGGTTTAGCGAGGAAGCCTGGCGGAAGGGCCCCCGCGGCTTCCCTCCTGGTCCTTCTTCCAGCTGGCTCAGCGCAGACACACCTGCTCTGGGACCTGGACCCTGCTCTGTCAGCGTGTCTGTCACCTGAGTGCCCGCCACCCCCGGCCCCGCCGCAGCACAGCGCTCATCTCCAGGACTCCGAGCACTCCAGGGGGCCGTCTAATGAAAAATAAATATTTGCTTTTCATCCCTGGTTCCTGGCACAGGGCAACTGAAACCCTTGGAATCTCTGGAGGAATAAGAATGACTCTTGTAGGCCAATGAGGTGACAGGTGGCTGGGGCCCCCTGGGAGCTTCAGGATGGGGGCTGGTTGCCAGGAAAACCAAGTAGAGTTGACGGTGGGACTCTGAGCCCTACAGCCTCAATCTCTGGGGAACCAGGGGGGGAGAGGGAAGGACCGAGATTGAGTTAATGCCCGATGGCCAACGAGCCAATCCATCATACCTGTGTCATGAAGGACAGTGATGCTCAACACATCAATGTGCTGGGATGGAGTCGTGCTTGGAGGACAGGGGAGCTCTGTGCCCTCCACCCACACCCCTTACCTTATCCTACCCATCTCTTCCTCACTTGTTTCCTTTATAATAAATAAATCAGTAAATGGGCTGCCTGGGTGGTGTAGTCTGTTAAGCATCTGACTCTTGGTTTCGGCTCAGGCTACAATATCAGGGTCCAGGGACAGAGCCCTGCATCAGGCTCCACACTCAGCACAGAGTCCACTTCAGATTCTCTCCCTTTCTCTCTGCCCCTCCCACTCATGCTCTCTCTTTCTCTCTCAAATAAATAAATAAACGTTAAAGGAATTAAAAATAAGTCGGTAAGTAAGACAGGTGCCTTCCTGAGTGCTAGGAGCTATTCTGGCAAATTAGCAAATCTGAAGGCGTAGGGGGTTCGTGGAACTCCCAGCTTCACAGCAAATTGGACAGAAGTCGGGTACCCTTGGACACACGACGTGTAACTGCCCTGTGGGAAGGAGCCCGACTACCTGTGGGGTCTGTGCTAACTCCAGATGGAATCCCTCTCTGGGACACCCAGGTGGTTTCTGAAGAGCTGGTGACCTGGCGTCAGGAGGGGAAACCCAGCAGGTGAGCACTTATGCCCTCTGAGGTCCAGGCACTGACGAGCATCACGAGTGTGCGTGGGACGAGCAGGAGCTACAGGTGAGAAGGTGGCCCTCCTGCGAGCCGCCCTCAGACTCCGCAGGCAGTGATGGTCCCGGAGAACTCAGGTCACAACTCACACTTGAGCTGGGATTCGAGGCCTGAGCTCTATGATAATCACCTCTCCGCCTCATTTGGCCAGCAGGGACACCACCTCCAAGCAATTTTATGGCAAATAGACTATCCTAGGGGCAAACTGGAGAAGAAATGTCAGCCTGACGGTAGCTGAGGCTTGAAAGCAAATATCACATGAGTGAGTCTCAGAAAGACGGAGCCAGGGCGCGTGGTTTAGCACGGCAGGAAGCGGCTCACCGGCGAGGAGGCAGGAGCCAGGCGTCAGACTTACTGAGGAAAGGCGATGCAAGTGTTATTTCTACAAAGGGCTAGAGGGCAGACCCTGTCGGGGAGCAGTACTGAGGCGTCTGCATGCCTTGAGCCTGTGCAGCAAGTCGCGGCGCACCTGACCTGGTGCCTGCGTGGGCCGCGGTGGCGGGGCCCCACCGGAGTGCTCTGCGCTCAAGCCTCGGGGAGGACAGCAAGACGGAGGGGGGTACAAGCACTTCTGGCTCACGGTAGGACTGTGTCCCTCACAAACCAAGGTCGCGGCCCCCTTCCCGCTGAGGCCAGCGAGGACCTGGGAGCGTGGGTCTCTGGAATCAGAACATTCGCACGGCGCTGGAGCCCGCGCAGCGGAGAGCGGAAGAACGCGGCCGCCTCGCCGCTGATGGGCCAGACCCGCACACGCTCCAGACGCTTTCCTGAGCGACGGTCCTGTGCTGGACCGAAGTCTACACCGTCCTTAACTCAACCTGCAGGACTGTGTGGGGCCCACAGGATGAGGGCTCGTGCTGCATCCCGGGGCCGGCAACAGAGAAAAGCATCCAAGATGCAAAGGGCACCAGGACCAAAGTGCAAGGAACCCACACCGAGACTCAGAAAACTGAGCACTGGTTGCTTATGATGCAGGTTCCAGTATCAAGTCTTATCACAAGTGGGGTGATGGACAATCTCCCCGAGGCACTGAACTTCGAAAGGAATCCAGTTTAACAGAAGTGTGCAAACGCTTTAAAAACTCCTTTGATTAAAAAAAAAAACAAACAACTCCTTTGATAAAATTTAATTTTATGGGGCCCCTGGGTGGCTCCGTGGTTGAGCGTCTGCCTTTGGCTCAGGGCGTGACCCCGGGGTCCTGGGATCAAATCCTTCATTGGGCTCCCTGCGTGGAGCCTGCGTCTCCCTCTGCCTGGGTCTCTGCCTCTGTCTCTGTATCTCTCTGTCTCTCTCTGTGTGTCTCTCGGGAATAAAAACAATCTTTTAAAAAATTTTAAATTTTATTTGGAAAAAGACATCAAGCCTCTTTTTAAAGGTACAGTCAAACACGCCCTTGGCGTTTGTGGAATGTGAGGCTTTCTGTGGAGAAAATTTGATGCTAAACAGACACTGAGGTCTGAGCAGAATGGCTCGCATTTACATACAAAAGATTCAAAATACCCAATGAGCAATAAAAAAACTTATGAACGGAATAATGAAATCATTACAAAACGTGTTTACTATGCCTATAACAACTGCAAGTTTTCGAAACTCCAATTATCTTGTCCATTTCCATATTTAGAGAAAATAACCAATATGTTTACTTTAAATTACAGACTAAGCATTGGTAAAATTTCGTTACACAAAAGAGAGGCTCTTTTGATTTTAAGGAATACAAAACAGCCAGTGAGAGCAACAACAACAAAAAAAGAAAGAAAAAGAAAGAAAGAAAGAAAGAAAGAAAGAAAGAAAGAAAGAAAGAAAAGAAAGAAAGAAAGGAGAGGAGAGGAGAGGAGAGGAGAGGAGAGGAGAGGAGAGAAGAGAAGAGAAGAGAAGAGAAGAGAAGAGAAGAGAAGAGAAGAGAAGAGAAAAGAGAAAAGAAAAGAAAAGAAAAGAAAAGAAAAGAAAAGAAAAGAAAAGAAAAGAAAAGAAAAGGTATCTTCCTTGTTGTATTAGGAAACATTTAAATACATCTGTAAAAAAAAATTTGCACGGATGGTCTCCCCACCTGCACCCCAGCCAGGTTCCTGGACTCTTGCTCTACGACCTCGCATGGCCCTTCGTCAAATGCCATGTCACCCAGTGGGCCTTCCGTGACCTCTCTGCCTGCAACAATCAGGCAGTGAATGAATGGGGGGGGCATGGAGGCGTCTGCCCCACGTGTTCCCCCCACCGTCCAGCTCCCGGGCACCCCCAAGCTTCTCACCTGAACCTCTGCCCTCTCTCTTCCTGAGCCTTCCCCCCCCCCCCGGGCCTCAACCGACATCAGCCTATACGTGATGTTATTTAGTTTTTCATTTTACTTGGGGTCTATTCCCTTTACTGGAAACTGTCCCAAGGCTGAGACTCTCCGAACTCGGACACTGTTCCGCCAGCGCCTCGGCTGTGCAGCTGCCCATGGGGTTCAGACAGCCGTGGGAGGAGCCTTCTGGAAGTAGGGTGATGCTAAGCGTCGTCGCTGCCAAGACAAGAGAGCAACCAACCAACTGGGGGGGGGTGTTGGGGTAGAATGAGATCGGAATAAAACCTGGGGGATCCCTGGGTGGCTCAACGGTTTGGTGCCTGCCTTTGGCCCAGGGCACAATCCTGGAGTCCCAGGATCGAGTCCCACATCGGGGTCCTTGCATGGAGCCTGCTTCTCCCTCTGCCTATGTCTCTGCCTCTGTGTGTGTGTGTGTGTGTATCTCATAAATAAATGACTAAAATCTTTTAAAATTTTTTTTTAAAAAAGAAAGAATAAAACCTGAGTTTGACAAGAATCGAATAGGCCAGCCAGAAAGTAGGTGGCACAATTAAGGTTGTAGGGTTGATAATAAGCTGACCCGGCTTAAATCCCTAAATGTCAGGCCAATGGTTTTATCTAGTCCTTTCTTGTGAGCGTCGTCATGCACTGAGCTGTGTCCCCCTCCCCAAAATCCATATGCTGGAGCCCTAACCCCCAGGACCTCAGGATGTGACCGTCTGTGGACACGGGGTCTTTAAAGAGGCAACATAAGTGAAAACGAGGTCGTATGCCCGGGCGCTAAGCCAGTGTGACCGGCGTGTGGCCAGTGTCTTACACGAAGATGACACACGCTTTGAAGAAAGGCCAAGTGAGGACACAGGAGGGACACCACGGCGGTCGGTCTGCACACCCGGCGGAGGCATCTGCAGAAAGCAGTGCTGCCCGCACCTTGGCCTCTGGTGTCCAGCCTCCAGAATCATGAGGATATAAGGCTCCGGAGTTTAAGCCACGGGCGTGCGGCACTTTGTCGCAGCCGCCCGAGCACAGTGCCTGACGCAGCAGAGAGCGGCTGTTATGCTGAAAGGCAAATCCTCCAACATCACAGTCTGGCAACAAGTCCTCCGTGTTTGCAAAGTCACGGGGTGAATCCCGGGGCTTGGGGGAGGACGGATTTCCCCACATGCACGAAATCACCCGAAAATCCGGGACGAGCATTCTCATCCGGGACCCCAGAGGCTCAGGACACAGAAAGCGCCGCCTCTGTGCTCAGAATGTGACGCAGGCGGGCGGGCGGGCAGGGGACTGCTCCAGCACTGACTCCTCATCTCCCCTGCCCCCCAGTAACCGAGCGCCCTGCTCTGGAGCAGCTCACGTTGGGGGCTGCCCTGACACGTGACACTGACTTTCATTCAGCAGGCGTCAAGCCTCACCTCTGCCCCGGCCCCAGTGACGTGGCCTCAGCCCTGCATCTCTCCCACACGTCCCTTCCACTTTGCCAGGTTTCCCTGGGCGGGCTACTGCCCGAGCTGAACGCGGGGTCCTGCTGGCAGCCCCGGTCCCACCGCGCCCGGCGAAGGGCTCCGTCCCTTCTCAGCCCCGCCACGGACAGAGCCGTCCTCCCTCATCCCTAACATACCCTGGCTTTTCGGGCCCAAGGCCAGGACGCCACATTTCTGTATCCATCCTTAGTATGTCTCAACGTTGCATCACAGACCGTGACCCCGAATGCTTGCCCCTGAGATGGGGACCTGAGCTGAGATCAGAGTCATATCCTTAACTGACTGAGCCACCCGGGTGCCCCTAAACATCTACGTCTGATATTATGACTTTGCCCAGGTAATGAGTGAAATGTCTGGGTGCGCCACTGGCCCTCTGTCCAGCCCCACCGGGCAGCCCTCCCGGGCCCCGCCAGCTGGCACTGAGGCCACCACCCCTCCCAAAATGAAGCAGGCAGCCCCCACCGCCCCGGCCGTGCACCAGGGCCATTCCAGGGACCCACAATCTGACCAAACACACCAGCAGGATAGAATTACATTTCAGGCCCAATGAAAACTGGAAAAAAAAAAAGGGCGGGGGGACTTCTGACACACCGTGTGAGCCACTCCTTGCGTGCTCCACTTTAAATAAAATAGGCGAACGCAGCCGCAAGAATAGACAAGGATACTGACCTCCGTACAGGCCATACTTGCACAGATCCCTGCTAGTATTTCGGACGAAGCTGCGTCAGGAATGCCCACACCCGACGGGGCTTTGAAATCACCTACCAAAGTCTGGGTCGGAGGCTGACAGAAAAGAATTGATTTGGACCGAGTTTTTAGTAAAGCCCTGAAGATGTGATTTTTTTTTTTCTTTTTTTGAAGATGTGATTTTTACCGAAGGATCATCCATCTGGGCACTCAGGAAACTGGGAGAACAGACTGGTTGGGGCGGGTACAGACTCCGTCCTTCACCCCTCGGGTGTGAGAAACCATTCATTCACTCACACGCCCAAATCTGCACAAAATTCACACAAAGCCCCCAAGTGTTAAGGTCGATTAACCTCCTTCCTCCCGCAATGAACGCACAGATCTGGTTCCCACCGTTCCCACACTGCTCCCAAAGATCCCTCTTCCTTCAAACACGGTCTGCGTGATGGGGGGTCATCCGCGTACGTTCCTGAATTGTTTCTCTTGCCCTGAATATAACCTACGTGATGGTGGCTCTGCTGTTAAGAATTTTCAGGGAACTGTGTGGGAAACAGGACTACTCTTATTTTTCCTTAGCAAATGCTTTCGAGCCCTTGGGCTTAGAGTCATGAAACATCAAAGAATAAAAACGCAGAAGCCACCGGATTAGAAACACGCCCTGAAATTTCCTTGTGTCCTCTTTGTTCAAGCTGGCGAGATGGAGAGACCGAGTTCTCGCGCCCATATGCTGCCGTACTGTGTTCTGGTCCACAGTTTCCTACGGGGCAAGACTTAGCACGAATCCCCACTTTAGGAGGCAGGGAGGCAGCGGGCAGAGGACGACGCGCCCCGCAGTGACGGCGTCCGCCCCGCCAGGCTTCCTCCCCGCGAACCCCCCCTTGTGAAGCGCAGCAGGCGCGGGGCTGGACGTCTAGCCGGTGGGGAGACTCACCACATGGCAGAGCAGTCAAAGTTCACCAACAGCCATTTGTGGGGATTGAAGTTAAACGAATCTGCAAACTGCCGAGGAACAGGGACAACAAAGAGAAGACATCTCAGTTACGAACGTCTCGCCGTAAACAAGACCCCCTACACGACGGAGGGCAATCTGGTTTTTTGAGAGTAAGACCGCGCCGAGGGACGGGAGCTGAGGCTGTGGGGCGCGGGGGCAGGAGCAGCTGGGGAGGCCCAGGCTCCGGACCTCGCTGGGCCTCTCTGTACTCATGGCCTTTTTTGTTTGTTTTTTAAAAATCTATTTATTTATTCATGAGACACAGAGAGAGAGAGAGAGGCAGAGACACAGGCAGAGGGAGATGCAGGCTCCATGCAGGGAGCCCGACGGGGGACTCGATTCCAGGACCCAGGAGTCACGCCCTGAGCCGAAGGCAGGCACCCAACCGCGGAGCCCCCCAGGTGCCCCTCTACTCATTTTCAAGTGGGTATCACAATGCATCACAGCTCAGGAACGCACAGCGCTGATGAGAAGTGGTTCGGGGCCAAAGCACAAAGCAGGAAGGACAGCTTTACAGTCAGCCCGCCCGAGGTTTGACCCCAGCTCAACGGCCTCCTGCGCTGTTTGCAAATTTGCATAGACCCGACTGGGAATGTCTGCTTTCCGGAGAAATGGTGGCACCCCAGGCCCGAACCCCTCCGCCACGGAGCACGCTCCCCACTTCCAAGGCTGGGCCGTGGCTGCTGCTGGTCTGCGGGTGTGCAGATTTGCAGGTGGGAGCCGGCCACCTGGGTGGGTGGTGGTGGTCCCAGGGGCCACGGTGACGGCTACTGACGCTCAGGAGCTTGCAGTGAAGCGGGAAGTTCCGGCCAGAGGGCAATCGCTCAGGTGCAATGTGAAAACAAGCATCACGTGGCCATGACTGGGCAGGCTTGCTGCTTGGAGGAGGAGGACGGGGACTCGCCCAGTCGGGCCAGAGGTGCCTGCAGAGGGCACCCCACAGAACCAGGCAAGGCACGAGCCCCCCACCTCCCCCGGGGCATGAAGGCCTCCAGCCTGCTCGCAGTCCTCGGGACGCAGTGCCAGGCACCCAGGACAGGTCAGGACATAAGCTTTGTTGGAAGAGCCCCCGATTTGGCCTTAGCACTCCCACTGTCCAACCATGTGCCCTCGGTGGGATGAGTCCAGGGCAGATGAAGGAGCTGCCCACGTAGGCAGCATCGATATGCGGCCACATGTCCTCCTTGTTACCTGAAATCCAGAGGAGTCCAGGAGAACGTATACAGGAGGGACTGGACTGAGCTAATCTAGAACTTTCCGGTTAACACCGCCCTTTATTTCTGTGTTCATCCTAACTCGGTGTAGGGCTTTCACGTTTGAAGCAGGCGGATATGAGGACCTTGGATAATTCAAAACGTGGGGAACCCGAACACGGAATCCTAGGGCGACGCCAAGGGAGGATGAGGAGAGCTGCTGTCCCGCGAGTCCCAGCAGCAACAGGGACACAGCTCACGGCTGGGGGGCTCTCCTGCCCTGGAGCCACACGAGTCCCTACTCATTTTTAACTGGGACAATTCACGGCGCTCCCTTCCCTCGTAACATGGGACGTTATGGATATTTTATGTCGTACACTTTCAAATTTGCACAGTCTGGACTCATGTACAACGTATGTACCTTTCAAACCACTAGACCCTTTGGAATAATCACACGGGAATTGGAATTCCCGTGAACCCTGCAGGAAATTGTAGCCACCGGGCCTACGGGACCCTTTGTGCCTGCACCTTCCCCCAAGTTCACGCGCTAGCGAAGTTCTCAGCATACGCGCATCATCGTAAGCGACAGGAGGCTGGAAACATCACTCCTAACCTACGGCCATCGGGATCACCCGGTTTTTATTTAATTGGTTGGCTTCTTTATTACTGCTGATGCAGCAAGCAACGACTCTTCCCACGTACCTAAACATTTTCTTCTTTCCTTTTAAAGACAATATCCACACTCATTGCACACCTATCAGCAACGGGCTCCCATCCTGGAAGACAGCGCGTAGCAACTGCAAACAACAGGCTTTAGCGCGTCGGTTTTAGGGGCTGCCCTATTTCCAAGCAGAAAATAAGATTTCAACAACCAAGACCGGCCGAGGAGGGCACTCGGCATCTCCACGGAGCTCTCCCGAGGGGTGCGCTCTTATATTCTTCAAAACGCGTGCCCAGGTTGGTCCTCCGGCTGCTGAGCAGGACCCGGGTCCGGCCGGAGGCCCAGGGGTGCAGCCAGGGGTGGGCGCCCCGCCACCGGGGAGACATCTGCTCGGCCGACTGCAGCCTCCTCGCGCGTCAGCCCGCTCCGGGGGAGCAGATTCATTTCCTTCCAGGTTTTGATAAGAGCGGTTTCGAGAAGGAGACGGGAAATGACAACGAGTTTCATTTGTTGATAAAAGGAGACAAAATGTGAAAGAAGAGCCTTGTTTGCCGAGAATTTTATTAGTTCCCTCCCAGCGGGGCTGGTCTGTTTAATCGCCTTTCATTACCCAACTGCTGTGTGCTCTTCCTGCCGCCAGAGAGAAGGGTTCTTATCTCCGGGCTGGGGACGCAGCAGGATATTGCAACCCCGTTATCTGAGCAGTTGGGCAGCAAGGCTCTCGCCGGGCGAGGAACAATGCAGGAGCCGGGGAAATGACTCACGTCGGCTATGAGATCCTGTCTGCTGTTGATAGGATCTTGCCCCAGGGCCCGGCGCTGCGGTGGCCTGACAGTTAGCTGCCCCCTTAGGAAAGCCGAAACCCCCAGGTCCTGGGATCGTGGGGAGGAGCGGGGTGGTGGGAGAAGACTGTGCAACCCCTAACCTGACACTTAGAAAGACCACATCCTGGGGACAGGCACACGCACCCCCGGCGAAGGCTTTGCCCTCCATCCCCGGGGTCCGGGGCCGGCCCCTCCCGCTCACGTGCCCCATCTCTGTAAAACGAGTCATTTGTATGGTGTGGAGGCTTCCCCCTCGAGACTCCCACGGGCCCAGCTCCCGGCAGCAAGCTGCAGAGCGCGGGGTGTTAGCGCGCTTACCGGAACCGCTCACGTGCCACAGCCCCCCTCCCTGACATTCACGGGGGCCTCGGAAGCCCCACTCGCCACCCCCTCCCCAGCACTAAGCCGAGGGCTGGGCGTGTGTGCGAGGATCCACAGACAATTACCACGTGAGTAGTGAATAAATGCCCGGATGGGATGGAGAGACGAGCGGAGTGCTGCTTCACTTATCAGCAACCAGCGGATTTCCTTCGCTAGGACGGGAATATTTGCATCTGCACCTGACGCCGCGTCTCTGGTATTACAGCGTCACGAGCATCCGAACGAGCAATTAGTAAATCGACTGGCAGCATGACACGAGAGCGGGGCGGGGGGTTCGGGGACTGTCCCTGCCGCCGTGCTGAAGGGCGATAGGAGGATCCCACCCGTGCCCGGCCTCGCTGCCCACCAGATGCTGCTTTCAATTCAATTAACTCCTGCACCCCACAGCCCCCCCTCGGAGGAGATGTCATTACTAAAGCCGCTCTGTGAGGTGTACAGATGACACTGGCCCACCCTCAGGGGCACGGCTCGTCCCCGGGGAAAGCTGGCGTTCACACAGTCCTCTACTGCCAGTGGCCGCACCTCGAACCCCTGCACCGCGTGTGGCCCGGGGTCCCACGAAAGCCTTTTGCCTCCGAGCATAGAGTCAAGGCCGTGGCTCCTCCGCTCACGATCTCCCTCCCCTGGGCTCACTGCTAAGTCTGTGTCTCTGGACCCCGTTTCATGTCTGCAACTAAGTTCCTGGACAGGAGGAGCATCCTGCCCTGTGAGCAGCCACCGGCGGCGGCCAAGTCCGACTTGGGTCTGAGATGGTGCGTCCGGACCCGCCCATGTCGCCGTCTCCCCGCATCACGTCTGCACCACACCACCCTCTGCAGCCCTGGGGGAGCACAGTACTGGTCGAGAGCTTTGACGACTATTTCTCAGAAGCAGCAGGTGTTTTAGTGGGTGTTACGTGCCGCACATTCCAGACTCCAAAAGCGGTAAAGGACGTGCAAACGCACCCGTGCCCGCTGGTTCGATATCTATTAAAATAATACCCCACGGAGCGGCGTGGTCCGAACACGCGTTCCTATTCCTACTGAACCAGATCGCATAGAACTGCAGGTTGCTTTGACCCATTACCTCCGGATCCGAAAGGCATTAAGATTTTACTTTCTCCCTAAATATTTCCCCACAGTTTTATGAGCTAAGATGCAGGCTGCCGTGAGAACTCCGCCCGGGACTCGTGCCGGCGGAAAAAATAGCTGCGAAAGCCAGTGTGTTTGCAGAAGGCAGGTTGTATGACTGAGCAGATTCTCAATCCCCCTTATTAGGAAATATGATTTCTGCTAATCAAAGAATTTGTTTGGAATTGCCGAAACGAAGCACAGCAGTGACAGATGGAACGTCCCAGACACGGCAGGAGAAGTCACTGATAACATAAGACTTTTAAGCAAGGATAGGATTAAAGATAGGAGGGGGCGCCTGGGTGGCTCAGAGGGTTGAGCAGCCGACTCTTGGGGCCCCGGGATGGAGCCCCATCGAGCTCCACGCTCCGCATGGAGTCGGCCTGTGGATTCTCTGTCCTTCTGCCTCTGCCCTTCCCCAAAATAGATACATGCATACACACATTAAAAAAAAAAAAAAACCCAAACCGACGACCTTATTCAAGATAAAGAGCGCACCCACCTCTACTCCGTTCAGAAGATGCCGGAACTCCGGGCAGATGAAGGAGCTGCCCGCGTAGGCAGCGTCGATATGCAGCCACATGTCCTCCTTGTTACCTGAAATCCAGAGGTGACTCGTGAGCTCCCCTCCGGGGACGCGGGAGCCTGATGATCGCCCGCCCCACCCAGCGCTCTTCCTGGGAAAGGTCCATCAACGGCCTTTGTTGGCTCGATTCGAGCCCCCGGCAGGCCCTGGGGTCTGAAGGCCGTGAGGCTGAGCACAGAGGCGGTGAGCTGGCCCCAGACCACGCTGGCCCAGGCCGGGGCCCAGGATGCGTGTAGAAGATGAGGAAATGGGATCGGCCGCCCTGGTTGACCCCACGGTGGACGCTCAGGCTCTAAGGGGCCACGCGCACCGTCCCTCGGGGCGCCTCGTCCACCCTCATTCCAGCGGCACCACCTTTCCCTCCTCCCGCATCTCACCCACGGGGATTTGGCTGCGATTCTCCGGGCTAACCCGTCCTCACGCCCTGCCCCCCAGAGCCGCCGGGGAGCGGCCCGGTCCGCGGCCCAGCCCCTGTGACTTCTCTCCGCCCGCCCCCTCCACGCCATCGTACCCAACACATCCTGGCTTATGCTACCTGCGACCATCCTGGGCTCCTTCGTGAACATGATTTCTGCTTTCCACGTGCCCCAGAATTGCCTGGCAGGAAGGGGCCAGGCCTTCCCGTGCGGGTGGAAGAGGGGGCACGAGGGACCCGAAGCACGCTTTACGGGCGGAGGGTGCGGGGCTGCAGGCCTCTGTGGCACTGTCCTCCTGGCCCCGCGGGGCCCCGACTGGGTGTGGCCGTGAGCCAGCAAGAGCCCGCAGCCTCCAGGCGACGGGGCGTCTCTGCTCAGAGAGCACAGCTCAGCCCCGCTCCCACGGCCACGGTCCCTGCGCTGCAGGGGCCTCCCGCTGCGGCTCGGTGCACCGCGGGCCTGGGCACCCCAGGGGCAGCCACGGGGCAGACAGCAAAGCGCAGGGCCAGGCTGTGCTCTCTGCGGGGCTGTCTGGGCCACCCCCGACCACCGGTCAGGAAACTCGGTTTTCTGTTAGAGGCTCTTCGGAGGATCAAGACTGTGGTGTGTCTGTTGGGTTCAGGACTGCGGAGGGAAGGGGTGATGCGGAGCAGGGCCCCGGGGCCTGGACGGGCAGACGGGTCAGGAAGGAGGAAGGGGAACGGGTTCCAGAGGCAGCGACACCCCCACTCAGCTCTCATCCTCATGAGAGACCCCTGAGCCACCCATGCTGGCTGGGCCCCCCCCCCGGGACACACGCAGGACAGCGGGTTGGGGTCCACAGCGGGTCGGGGTGCATGGCTGGGGCTCCCCTGGGACGCATGCAGGACAGCGGGTCGGGGTCCATGGCTTCACGCAGGGGATGGAATGACACCAGCCCCGGGGCTCCTGCACTTGGGAATGTGTAGGGGCCGCAGAGAAGGTGGAAAAGACAGGGGCGCACGGGGGAAGGGGTGCAGCGGGGCCTTGACTTTACTCCGGAAGAGCCCTGGCCTTTGCCCTGCTCCTGGGAGGTGACCTCTCGCCCCTGGAGTCCCCGCCAGAGAGGGTCCTCTCCCGCCTGGCTCTTTGGCCCCAAACAGTGCAACAGAGTGACTGATGCCAGCGGCTGCGGGCCCCAGGCCACCTGACCTCGGGGGACCCGGGGACGGCAGGTGCCAGCTGGGCTCCCCCGAGGAGCTGGAGGCTGCGGGTCGGCCCGGCGGCCAGCGTGTGGCTGACGCCCCATCACACTCTGAGGCCACAGGCCCGGTGAGCTTCCGCGGTGCTGGGTGTCGTCATAACGGGGCGAGGTAGCCACCCACGGACCTTCCCCCGTCTGCCCTGCACCTGTGCCCGCTGCAATACCCCGTACCCCTGAGGGGCTTCCAGGGAGTCCTGTAAGTCTTTCTGATGGATCGTCGGACCCGAGGTGGTTCCAGAAAGTGCTGGAGGCGAGGGCGGTTCTGTGACCCTTCCTGTGACCCCTCCTGTGCACCCCGGTGCCACCGGGCCGGGCTCTCGGGCTGCCTGTGGGCCCCGCTCCCCTTCCGCCCTCCCGGGGGCCCACACTCTGCCTCCCACTGTCACACCTGCCTGTCGCCCTCAACAACCTGCTTTCTGCATCCCCTCCTCGCTCCAGTAAAACCTGCAGGAAACCTCCCTGGACCCATCCTAGTGGACCGTGGGGGACCTCGTTTTAAAACGACCCCAAAAGAAAACCTCTTTTCCTAAAGCAGCAGTTTGGAGACAGCTGCCTTCCGGCGCCCCGACTTTGCCGAACCACAGTGGATGCGTCAGGGACTGAATCGTGTCGACGGTGTGTTCCAGTCACAGCACCGGGCGAGGTCAGCTCAGGCTCCCGGGCAGCCCCGTCTGACGTCGTGGACCGCGGAGGGAGTGGCGACCGTCGAGGACACGGTGTCAGAGGGGGCGGAGCGGGCGGCCCGGGGCTTACGGGCAGGTGCCGGCCTCCTGACCGCGACAGTGTCACCCGCAGTAAATATGATGTGGACATGAACCTCACGTAGGGACTGCGGCCGTGAGCGGCGGGGCTGTGGCTCTGCGGCCGTCGGACCCCTCAGTCGGCCCACACCGGCCCCTGCGTCTGCACCAAACCCTCCTGGAGCTCGCGGTCCCTGCGACCCCAGACCCAGGGGGCAGAGGGGGCTCCAGGACCGCGGGACACCCTGAGCCGGGCCCCCACCTGCCGTGGGCAGAGAGCACAGGCCTCCCGGGCCGTCATCCGGCTGGCGGCGGCCTGGGGCTCCGGCCACGGGGCTGCGTGGGCCCTGCCCTGCCGAGGCGCCCCTAAACCCGAGAGCCCTGGGATATCCAGTTCCCGGCCGGACATCTGAGCCACAGGAGCACCCAGCGGCTGGGCCGGGCACATTTGCCGCCTGAGGGGCGACGCCCCGGCCGCGGGCCTGAGCCACCGGCTGTCACCCACCTGCCCCTGGCGGCACGTGAACCTGCGCGAACCGGCGCGTCCGTGCCCGCGGCACCCGCCCCGGGGGTTGCACGATCTCTGTGCATCTGCCGCCCTCTGCACGGCCCAGTGAGGGAAGCTCCGGCGTCCGACCCTGGCGCCGTACAGATGGGGACACGACGCCGGGGACGGGAACGGCCCACAGCCGAGGTGGTGGGGCAGCGCCCTGAGCAGGTGCGACCACACGGCCCAGCGCCGCTTCTGCGGGGGACCCATGGGGGGGGACGCGGACGGGCCGGAGCTGGTGTCCGCAGGTGGCATGTCTCTCACCAGCCACAGGGATGGGGGCTGGGGTCTGAACAACCCCACTGTCGGGGCAGCGGAGGGAGGGGGCGCCGGGCCCTGAGGCCGGGAACAAGGCCGGGGAGGGGGTCGGGAACCTGCACCCCCTCCCCAGGGCAAGGCCCCCGCCACACAACCCCTCCCAGGCCTGCGCTGAAGAAGAAACTTCGGAAACACGGACCTTACGCACGGCCCGCCTTGGGGATCCTCTGAGCCCCCCTCCCTGGGACCCCCCCATGTGCTTGACAGAAGCGGGAGGGTTGAGCGACCCCAGAGGCACAGCAGCAGATTCCCCCGAGGAATCCAGGGTCTGGGTGTCCCTGGCTTTACGGCGTGAGGTCACGTGCTTCTCGACGGTCACCTCAGAAGCCTCAGCTGCTTCCTCCGAAGCCGGTAACCGACCTGACTCTGGCCTGATTGGCTCGGGGGGCCCTGAGCCCCACGACCCTGGGGCCCGGCTGCGCCCCGTGGGAGACTCCTTCCTTCCAGACGGCACGTCGGGCCGGCCGAGCTCCGCTGGTCCACGGAGGCCGGGGTCTGAGTTTGCGGACTTGAAGCTAATGGAATCTGTGCCGGTGCGAATATAGGAGTCGGGCAAGCGTCGGATTGTGGGGTCACCCGTGTTAGCGTCCCTCGCGTCCTCCCCCGACCGGCACCGCATCCTGCACGGTCGCGGCGTTACCTTACCTAAGTGAACGGCTAATGCCCTGACGGAGGACGGGCCCCGAGAGGAAGGTCCACGGGAGCTTCCCGTACCGAGAACATTTTGCAGAAGAAAATTCAGCCGGATACTTACAGATAGGACCCACTTCTAACAGATTGTCGAATGAGCAGCAGGACGTGGTCCCCAGTGTGGCCACCACCTGGAAAGTAAAAAGCAGACCTTTTAGGGTTTTAGGGCCGATGGACCCGGGAGTCACCGTGGAACCTCCGCACGCACCCCTGCAGCCCCCGGGCGGGCCCTGAGCCTCGGAGGCGCAGCCGGGTGGGCGCCCGCCCGCTGGAGACGGGGTCTGTGCACGCCGGTCCCGTCCCTGCACGAAGCTTCCCGACGGGTGCAGAGAAACATCCACCGGCGGGAACCAGGCTGGAGGTTGGGAGCAGTGCTCGCCCAGGACTGACGTGCCGAGGGCCGAGGGGCGGGGAGGGTGGACGGTGTGTCCCGGGCCTGCTTCCCTGACCGAAGCACAGAGGTCGACCAGCGACAGCAGGTCCTTGCTTCTGTGCAGGGGGGCACGGAGCCTGCCCGGTTGGCGCATGTGGGCAGAGGCGCCAAGAGCACCTGCCCACACCTGCCCTGGAACAGCACTGCCGGCGGCTCAGAGACCCCTGGGCTTTGACCAGGAGTCCCACCCGCTGGCTCTGCTCTGCGGCCCGCCTGTCCTCCGAAGGGCCCTGCTCCCAGGGGAGCTTCAGGCCTCAAAAGAGGAAGGTTTGGGCAGCCCGGGGGGCTCAGCGGTTTGGCGCCTGCCTTCAGCCCAGGGCGCGATCCTGGAGACCCGGGATCGAGTCCCACGTCGGGCTCCCGGTGCATGGAGCCTGCTTCTCCCTCTGCCTGGGTCTCTGCCTCTCTCTCTCTCTCTGTGTCTCTCATGCATAAATAGATAAAATATTGAAAAAATAAAGAAAGAGGAAGGTTTGCTCCAAGCACACTCATGAGAAGGCCTCACAGACCCTGAAAACAATTCCTAAAGGTGCGTTTCGAGACGCCGTTGGGCACCATTGGGCACACGAGCGGGAAAGCCGGCCTGGCCTTCTGCGCCCGCACCTGCTATCTGAGCCCATCGTGAGGCGGCGAGGGAGCGGGTGCCGTCCGACTGGTGGGTGTCCCCCCACACACACACGGGGCTCCCCGGCCTGGGAGCTCCAGAATGCAGGTCCCGCGTCTGAGCTCCCGGCATTGCGGGGAATGCGGAACTTGGCCGCACGTGGAATTGGGGCTGAAACCTATTTGTCGAACGCAGACTCTCTCCGAAGTGATCAAAAAGCTCGTGGTGTTTACAAGAGCGAGGGGCCTGACCCATTCCCGATGCCGGGGCCATCTGGATAAGGACGTTTCTCCCTCGCTGGGACAAGAGTGTGAATTTTCATTCCACGTGAGTGGAGAATTCGATTCTGATTTTTACTGAGCCCCCACTAGGACCCCGGCGGCGCCACGGCGCCCTGAGAGCAGAGGTGAAGAGGCGAGGGCCGGAGCCCCACGCAGTCTGGTAAACCTGAGCACCTGGCCGAGGCCCGTCTGGCTCTGCATCACCAGGACCACCACCTGCGTTTGCCTGGAGCCCCCGGTGCCCTCGCAGAGAAGGTCCAAGCGAGCGCTCCTGCAGGGGTGCCAGCATCGTGCCCGCCCGTGGCCGGCTCAGCGGGCCAGCCTGGCTCTCCGCTCACATGGTCGCCCGGGGCCAGAGCTGCCCCTGCCCAGCGGGTGCTGCGCCAGACTCTGGCGGGACTCATGGTGGCCGTGGGGTGTGAGCAGGGGAGCCGGGCCCCGACGGGCTACTCTCAGGCCGGGCAGGAGCACTGTGTCGAAATTATTTTCTTAAAGATTCTATTTATTTACTTGACACACACACACACAGAGGGAGGGAGAGAGAGAGAGAGAACGAGAGAGAACCCAAGCAGGGGCAGCAGCAGTGGGAGAAGGAGGAAGAGCAGGCTCCTGGCTGACCCGACACGGGACTCGATCCCAGGACCCTGAGAGCATGACCGGACCTGAGGGGAGAAGGCTCACTGACTGAGCCCCCAGGCACCCTGAATGTAGCATCGTGATTCAGCTACAGCGAAGCTGCCGGGCTGGGAGCCGCCTGCCAGTGGGGAGCCAGCTGGTGTCACGGCAGCGCAGGAGGGACAGGCTGCACCCCGAGGGCCACGCAGGAGGGACAGGCTGCACCCCCAGGGCCACGCAGGAGGGACAGGCTGCACCCCCAGGGCCACGCAGGAGGGACAGGCTGCACCCCCAGGGCCACGCAGGAGGGACGGGCTGCACCCCCAGGGCCACGCAGGAGGGACAGGCTGCATCCCCAGGGCCACGCAGGAGGGACAGGCTGCACCCCCAGGGCCACGCAGGAGGGACAGGCTGCACCCCCAGGGCCACGCAGGAGGGACAGGCTGCACCCCGAGGGCCACGCAGGAGGGACAGGCTGTGCCCCCAGGGCCATGCAGGAGAGACAGGCTGCACCCCGAGGACCATGCAGGAGAGACAGGCTGCACCCCCAGGGCCATGCAGGAGAGACAGGCTGTGCCCCCAGGGCCATGCAGGAGAGACAGGCTGCACCCTGAGGACCATGCAGGAGAGACAGGCTGCACCCCCAGGGCCATGCAGGAGAGACAGGCTGCACCCCGAGGGCCACGCAGGAGGGACAGGCTGTGCCCCAAGGGCCATGCAGGAGGGACAGGCTGCGCCCCCAGGGCCATGCAGGAGGGACAGGCTGCACCCCGAGGACCATGCAGGAGAGACAGGCTGCGCCCCCAGGGCCACGCAGGAGAGACAGGCTGTGCCCCAAGGGCCACGCAGGAGGGACAGGCTGCGCCCCAAGGGCCACGCAGGAGGGACAGGCTGCACCCCGAGGACCATGCAGGAGAGACAGGCTGCGCCCCCAGGGCCACGCAGGAGAGACAGGCTGTGCCCCAAGGGCCACGCAGGAGGGACAGGCTGCGCCCCAAGGGCCACGCAGGAGGGACAGGCTGCACCCCGAGGGCCACGCAGGAGGGACGGGCTGCACCCCGAGGGCCACGCAGGAGGGACAGGCTGCGCCCCGAGGGCCACGCAGGAGGGACAGGCTGTGCCCCCAAGGGCCACGCAGGGAGGTGCCCAACCTGGCAGCCGTGGAGCCAGAGGAGCAGGAGGGCAGGAGCATGCGAGGCAGGGGAGCAGCGGAGGGGCAGCTGCTTTGCATAAACTCCGTGGGCTTTGGGGCAAGGGACTGTCCCTCATGGCCCTGGCTGTGGGGGTCGCAGCCCGGAGCCCCACGGAGGGGAATTGGGGTGCGGGCCGGATGGGCGGGTTTGCTGAGAAGCAGGCGATCCCCCGTCTCCGGCCCGGGCCAGTCCTGGGGGGACGGCCAAGCCTTGGGAATACGGGAAAGGAAAACACAAGGTGGACCCGCTCACACTTAGGCCGCATCCTTGGGGCAAAAGCCTCAGGTTGGAGGCCCGGCTCCTGCCTTTCCTTTCGGCAGGTCTGGAGGCCTCAGGCCTCGGCGTCCCGTCCCTCCACGCCCCGCGTGCCTCCCCTGCACCAGCATCTCGGCGCCACTCCCAGGGACGAGGCGATTTTCCTCTGGTATTTGCAATTTCTTCCCAATTTATAACTGAATAGTGAGATGCTTCGTCGGAGGCACCTGGCTCGGTAGGTACAACCTGTGACTCTTAAGACGCTTTGCCTGCATCACCAAAGGAATAGCAAAAAAAAAAAAAAAAAAAAAAAAATGTACAGGGAAAGACCACGGAGCGACTCATCCATCTTACCACTAGCTTGTAGTTTTTTTTTTCTCAATTTCAACGATTTCTTACTATTGCTTACATGTCCCTTCAACGTCCTTTGATGTTCCTCAAATTCTAACTGAAATAAATGCACCACTTTGCGTTCTTAAGACTACACGTGTACTAAGCGTCCTCTCGTTAAAATTACTTTCCACCTACGAACGTGCGCACAGGAAAGGTCCCAATATTGCCCAATATTAACACTGCGTGTCTCTCCAGACTAGGTTTGCATCTCACACACGCACCCTCACTTTCCGGGTCTGCGTACTGAGCACGGAGCGTCTCTGTAAAGACCGTAAGAGCCCGCCTTGTCCTCGGCCCCGGCTCAGTGGAGGGCCGCGCGGGGGACGGGTCCCGAGCACCCACCCGGCCCCGCCTGGGGCTTCACTGTGTGTGGCGCCCGACGGGCCGGACAGGTTTACGATCCGTACTTTGCAGTTGACTTGAGTGAGACCCTGGGGGTGGCTTTGTCCTGCCAGGTGAGGACAGAGCCCAGCGCCTGGGCCAGGCCCGGGCCCATCGGCTGAGCCCGCCAGGGGACCGGGCTGTCAGCGGGCGCGTGTTCTAGGTGCCGCGGGCAGCTTGTTCTAATTCTCAGAAGCTTCTTTCCAAAAAATAAAATAAAACAATAAAAAAATAATTAAAAAATTAAGAAGAAAAAAAGAAGCTTCTTTCCAGCCCTGCACCTGCTGCGCTCCGGGCTCTGATTACCCCGGCTCAGTGCACTGACGCTAACCTGATTTGGGCTGGGCTGCGGGGCCATAATCACATTTGTGCCGGGGGAGGGAGCGCGGGGACGGGGCCTGCAGCTCGGCCGCTGCCCAGACGCCGTCCCTCCTGCCTGCCTGCCGCGCCGCCCACGTGCACCCCGCGGCCGCTGCCCTCTGGCCCGGGCCTGACCTTATGAAGTCGGCTCCAGGGGCAGCCAGCCGGCCCCGGGAGGGAGGGCAGCTCTTCCAAGCCCCCCACGGGTCCGAGGAGGGGCCGAGATTCACCTGTCCTGCTTCCAACTTGCCAAATGGGCCCCTTGCTCTCTGCCGAGGGCCTTGGATTCCGGGATGTCTGCGACCCCCAGGCAGTGGGGCCCCATCTCGGAACCGTGCAGGCAGCTGTGTCTCCCAGAACTATGACCACTAGATGCAGTTTCAACGGAGCCAGTGGGCGGCGTGTCCACGTGTGAAGCTGCCGCCCCTCTCGGCTGGGCCTGGCCTCCCTCTCTGGCTCCAGGGTCCCCGACTGAGGGACCCGCGGAAGATGAATGTCCTGCGCGTCCTCCAACACACGTGACCTCTCACGTCCCTGTGCCGTGCCCTCCTCTCTTCTTCAACCGGAGAGGCCCTGTGGCCACGAGCACTGCCCAGGGACCCTCCAGGACCCTCCG